GATCAGTGGTGTTGCAAGATTAGTTACTTATGAATGGACCGCAGCAGAGATAAAAAAAAAATTAACGCGATCCTACTGTCATATATGTGATAATATATAACGAATCATCACCAATCAATTTCAAAGTGATTGTGTACTTATTGTTGTACTAACTACAGCTCTAAGAAATACTAATTTCAATTAGTATTAATTAAAGGAAAACTTACCTGGGTTTCTTATAATTACTGAATCAATCAACTTGCTCGTTGGACTTGATGGCAAAGGCGAAGTCGGTTCCTTTTTAATGCTGTAAAAATAATTAGTAATAAACGACGTTAAAAACGTTATTTTAACATATAAATATGAATAAAAGTTTTTTAAACTTTTTAGCAGTCTAGTTACAAGTCAATCCATGACTAAAATGAAACAATAATCTGGTCGTTAAATATTTTATTTCCACTAACACACATTGAGTAACATTCATGTAACTAAGTTAACTAATCATTCCTTACTTAGCTCGAGGATATTTCTTTAATCAATTGAAATTCAAATAAAAAAAAAGTCAAATGACAAAGCCATTTAGATTGCTCTTTTGGATTTATATAAAACCTATTAATGTTAATCAATTGAAGGACATGTACCTGCCGCTGATCAATGGAGGACTAAGCGGTGCAGCTAGCGACGAGCTGGTTGCCTCCATGAGAGCCTCCAGACATACCCGCACCGAGTCTGCAACCCTCGCGACACTATACGTTACGCTACCGTCGGTCCGTGTATTATTATAACAAAATAATATACTGTACGGCAACACTGGGGGGAACCGGCCGCCACATCCGCGCAGGACATTTGCTATACGGACGTTGTCGCGCGCGCCCGACCAGAGAGCTTTCGATCGATAACAGCCGGCACAACAACGTATATAATAATAATGATAACATAATGCTTAGATATGTATATATAGGTAACGCAAATGTATATCGAGTTTACGTGGCGACGTATACAATGTATATAATAATGTTTCACAGCAGACGGATAGGTACCAGATTTAAATACACACACACACACACAAATAAAAATTATGTTTCTCTGTTCAACATAACAGTTACAACCAAGAAGAACAAATGGTGACTTATAACAAGTACTACAGCATCAGGGCCTAAAATAATGTGTCCTTTGAAAATCAAAATGTCTCCTGAATCAGAAATGTAACAAAGTGTTATAATGTTAATTTTCATTTTCATTGTAGAAATCTTCGCCTTGGAATAAATAGGTTCTAACGTTTTTTTGAAATATTTTTTTTCTATAAATACATTAAAAAATTAACTACACACGTTTTAATACCTAAATGAGATGTATTTCTATCATTTAGTTACATTAATTATGTAGTGAATTAATTTAATTGAAAAATTTAAAGTTCCATATGACTGTATTATAATTTTATTTTTAAAAAACCGTCTACTGAAAAAACATCTATTTTGTGTCAACGTTTATACTAGTAGTTTGGGAGTTATTAACATTTTAAAATATTGATTGGAGATAAGGTGTGAGTTATGTTATTTTTATCATTACACATCAGAATGTCGTGCTAATCCTCTCACTCAGATACATAAATATTCTCCCACTTATTTTCAATAAAATTTAATAAAACTCTCTATCTCTATTTCTCTGTAGAAATCAATCTAATGATAAGATTTCAGCAACTTCCATGTTTTTTTATCACTAGCCTTCCTCTTCAACTCTTCATAAGAATTACATCCTCTATTTTCTATTATCTGATTTATGTATTGTAATCTTGGTTTTCCTTAATGATTTTTTCCGTCGATTATTCCTTCTGAAATTAGTAATAGCAACCCAACGAGTCTGAAAATATAACTTATTAATTCATTTCGCCTTTTCTGTATACAATTCCATATTAATTTCCTCTCAGATACCCTTTTTAAAACTTCTTCATTAGTAACTCTATCAGTCCAACTTATGTTTTCTATCCTCCTGTAATATCACATTTCGAATGCCTCTATTCTTTTCATTTCTTCTGTTACAATGGCTTTTCCGTGTTTCGCATTTATATAACATGATGATCCAAGTATACGTTTTTAGTAGATTCTTTCTATTATTGAAATCAATTTTTTTAAAGTAAAAAGACAACTTCTCTTATTAAATTTCACCTTAGCTTAGCATATACTCTTTACAATTTCTTTTTTGCATCTCCCATCTGAGCTTATAGTTCTACCCAATATACTAAATCTTCTACTTTTTCTACAGTTTCATCGCCCTTTAATTTTACTTTTGATCTTATGTTATTTTGCTACTACATACTATGTTTCCTTTTCGTGGTTTGAACTCTAGCTCTTTTCAGCATTTTGAACATTATTTCCCAGTTAACATTATCTAATGCCTTCTCGATGTCAGCAAAGGCATTAAACATGGACTTATCTTTTCGTATTCTTTTCTCCACTATTAATCTTTAAGCTAATATCACTTCTTTCGTACACACTTTTTTTTTTTTAATCCGAATTGGTCCTCTGACAATATGTCTACTATATTCTCTCCTATTCTTTTATACATAATTTTTGTTAAAATCATTTAAGCGTGCAAAAGCAAGCTAATTATTCGATATTGTTCACATTTTTTAGCTGATGTCTTTTTTGTATGGGAATAATTATACTCTTTACAAAGTCAGTGAGTATATCCGCCGTTTTGTAGATATCTCTAATGAGTTAAAATAATTCATTGACCATATTTTTTCCTGCTTCTTTCCAAAAATCGGCTTGGATCTCATCTATTCCTGCCGCTTCCTTTATTTTTAAATCACTTTATGCTTTTTCAAATTCTTCTCTGAATGTCGGAAATTCTACATACTCTTCATCATGCTCAATATCATTTATTTTTTCTAAATCTATAACAACTAGTTCTTCTTACCATACAGTGTTTCTTTGTATACCTTCTATCTATCTACAACCTGTTCCTGCTCATAAATATTTTCTCCTTCTTTATTTTCTATTACTCCACATTTGGGTGTACGTACTCAAAAGAATTTTTTATTGTTTTATATTCTTCTTCTCTTTTGCCCATTTTCTCTTGTCACCCCTTAGTTATAAGTTACTCATTGCCAAATATGACTGATCTTATTGAATTTTCAAATAAAGAAAATTATTTGTTCAATTTGATTTAGCTAGTGGATACTTACAAATACATTTGACTAAGCTAACATTAAGATCATCCAAGTGTATAATTGAAACAAAAATTAAATTTTTGGGATTTTTAATTATTAGTCAAAAAAATACAAAATGATGGCAACTATTTAGTACCCAAGACAGTACTTTAGGTAAGGATATTTATTGGGTTAACTAGTTTTTTCAGACGACTAGCAGAAAATTTTCTATGATAACTAAATTTTTGACTCAAACAAAATGTAAAATTTGGAAAGACAATAAGCAAATACTTTACAAACTTTGTGCAATAGATAAACCTGTTTACAGAAAGGTATGTTAGGAATATGCAGATCATCTAATGAATATGGTACAACAACAAATGAATTTTTCACTCAGTAACACTCGTCTCCTTTTGTGCTTTTACATGAGTATGTTCCAAGATTCAATTTTGGTTCTTTGCTTAGTCTTATTACTACTAGAGACAAATAAAAACCGCTAAAAGAATTACAATCTAAAGCTAGAGCGAATATTAAGAAAAAAACAATAAAATATATAATGTCATAACATTTTTAAAAATAGATGAATCATAATAATTTTTTTAAATAAAGTATTTTCCATTCAATTTGTATAATATTTTCCAAAATCTGTCTCTTCACCTGATCCCAGAGATGATTTGAATAAGCGACTCTCGCAAAAAAGTGAACTTTTTCAAATTAACTATTGAAAGTGTTCGTCCTTTAAACATATGTTAAATTAAAACATACATTAAATACTAAGAAATAAAAAATATGTTGTCCAGATATTGTATCTTCTATGTGCAAAAGACTGTTGTAGTTAAAAATATACTATTAAGTAAAGGGTCAGATTTTTAAAAATATATACCAAACGATAGACAAAAACCAATATCTATAAAAACTTTGTTTTTATTCTTCCATTTTTCAAAGAGTCATGGCAGCTTAAAAAAAAAAAATGTCAAAAATTAACAATTTTTAACAATTGTAATTTTTTTGAAGATTATTCCATTTACAGGGAATGAGGGAATTTTTTTTAATTTTTGAGGATTTTGTCTTCGATTAGTACAATTTGGGATCTTTACACGTTTCATTGAAAAAAATCTGTTCGATTAAAGCTGAAAAAAGTAGTAACAAACACAAAAAAATTTTAAAAAAGTATATCATAGTGAAATAAACACCTTTTCAGCTTCACATAATATCGTGGCACTTTCGCTGGTGTCGGCAACGTGGTATCCAACATGGGCCTTAGACGTCAAAAAGTCAGCAGCGTTGATGGCGACGGTACTCTGTCGTGGTATCAGTTGGTCGTGTCCAACGTGCGACACGTCTGGAGCCGGTTGCGTAAATCCTCGACGTCGTCACTTCGACGAAATGAAAAAGACTCAATGTATAATTAAATAGTAATAATATATAATATTAAAAATACCAAAAAGAATTTTCTTAATATAACTATTATTTTAAGAGAAATCGAGTGACTAATATTAAAAGAATCACTCTGTATACAATAACTTTTTTAATAATTGCTCCGTAAAAGTTACAATACTAAATCATTAAACATCGATTTGATACAAAATTTAATTACTATAATAAGTATTATATATTCATATACTTGTATTATACATATAAATCATAAAACTTTTAATAAGAATGTAATTAAGGAAATAGGAATAATTTTATCACAAAATTTAACTATTTTATTTTTGAGTATTAAACTAACTAAACATTAGTCGACAAATTTTCATTTTTTTTTTTATCTAAGATTTAAAAATAATAATTAATATTAATAAAATAGTTTTCAAAAATTATTACTTCATAATATATTTATAGGAGTAACATTTATTTTATAATTACAATATAATTAAATGAAATATCAAAAGACACGTATTTATTCTATTCTACACTTATAAATAATAAGATAAACATATATGTTAAACCATTTGGCAAATATATTAACATTTATTAATAGAATCATATTATAATGTTTTAATAATTATTTAAAGATATAAAAATAATTATGTATATCATAGTTATTTGTAACATATTAATGTAAGATAATATTTATTTTATTACTAAATGTAAAAGGTATCTATTTGTATTAGTGTTGGTGACTCTTGATCTGTTACTTTAAATTCCAATTCTAAATTCACAAATAAATTAATAATAGAATGTATTGATATTTTAATAAATATTTTTTTTATTTTTATTACCTAATTCAATTAGCTCGTTCGGTGCTGTTATAAAAGTTTCTTCGGTGATTGGATCAAATTTAAATCCTAGTTGAAAATACTTTTCTATAATTACTATTTTAATATAATCCTTAATTTTTCTGTTAAAAAATTTCAAAAAAAATAATTGTTTGCCCTGAAAAATAATGGTTTTATATTCCTGAACCCATTCATGCCATAAATAATTCCTATTATATGGTATAAAATTACAATAGTCTACAGTTTCATTTTCTACATAATTTATTATTCTTTTAAAAATAAGAACTATACTGTTTAATGTCCTGTCGCATGTAGATATATCAACACGTGATAGAACTACTCTGTTTAATTCATCAAGAATATTTCCTATATACCCCAATGAAGGACTTATCATATAGCGAGTACGTGCATTAGAAATCCACGGTCTATGATGTAGTAAATCCAAAGCATCCATAGCTCCTTTCATCAATGTTGCCATTGGAACAATAAATGTAGTTATTATGTTTAAGAGTCTTTCTGTGAAAATGTATACATTTATTAAGTCATTATCTTCTTTAAATTGTGAGTAATTTTCTATAAAGTTGCTTATAACTGAAAGAACATTATTCGTAACTTTTGCGTATGTGCATCCAAGATATATAGTTAAAGCTCGTATTTTTGCATCATATTGATTACTAGATGTAGGTGTTTCAATCAGATCTTTAAGATAACTTTGTTTTTTAAAATAGATTATATGGTACAAATCATTTAATTTTTTCCAACCCGAATACTTTAATAACTCGTCTAACCGATGTATTGTCTTTTTTAAATCGATATCTGCCTTTATACCTAAAATCGCATAAAATAATAAAAAACTATACTTGTAAAATCTTAAAGAATACATTGTAAAACAAAAAAAAAATAATTATAATTAAAATTTTTTTATATAAATATAATTTGATGAAATGCTAGACGTTTTTATTCTGTTCTCATTATTTATAAATATAAAGTCAACATTAATGAACATTTGTTATATTGTAAGTTGCTTATGAGTAACTATTTTAATTTTTTTAATTTTGGATATATTTTACTAGCTAAATATTAACTGATAGATTTTCAATTTGTTTATTGGATTTTTATACTGATCGCTATAGTTATATAGGGTATTTTAAATACTGTAATAAACTAAATATAATAAATCTCAAGGTTTTCTTAAATGATCATACAAGAAAAAAAAATAGTATGGCATCAACAAATTCTTACTCCGACTTTCAAATAAATTAAAAATTTATTCTTAATTGAATAGTCATTTGATAAAGGGGACAATTTTTATGTGATATTATTGATTATNCCAAATTACCGAACTGATCTCTCGTTCGGTAAATGAAGCCGCCCGTGACCGAGTTTCGAACCTGAGACACTACGCGTCAAGCGCTGCCGCGTTACCGACTCGGCCACACCGTCCCTAATATTTAATAACAATATAATATTTATAAATATTATATTGTTTTAAAATATGTGTGTGTATATTATGCAATATAATAATATAAATATATAATTATATATATTAATGACTGAAACAAAAGTATTTTATCTCCTAAAAAATAGGAAAAGGAACATAGTCTCTTTTAAGAATTGACTATGCAATTATGTAGTTATTTCCTTCGTTCTAGGAAAATCAGTTCGTATCAAAATTCACAAAATCTTTAGTGTGTTTATTTATTAGGTAAAAGGTAATACATTACCAATAAAAGGTAATTTCTAAAACGCTCCATTAAATTATATACATTTGAGGCAGCGAAGTGGTATTTCAACTAATAATCGTCTCCTATGTAAGCATTATATATGCAATTGCAGAATTGCGCAATTATTAGTTTTATAGAATCTGTACTCCATTATGGTTATGTTAATATAAAACCAGTACTAAGCTATTTTTGGACCTCTATNTGGTTATGTTAATATAAAACCAGTACTAAGCTATTTTTGGACCTCTATTTGACCAGTACTCTAGCATTAACAAGCCAGTATAGAATCGGTACTAACCTGCAATACTGTCTTAGTACTGACAGTACAGAAAAGTGTTATCATTTGTGACTTATTCTAGTACAAAATATCAATACTGCGTCCTTAGTAATTTCTACTTGGGATATAATGCATCCTGCTTGTTAGGTATTTTTTTATTTAAAAAATATTTATTAATTATTCATATAAGACCTAATAATCAAAATTAAAATTTGTTGAAGTAATAAAGGATTGTATTATTTCTTTCATAGGCAACATTAAACCTGTTTTAGAACAGGACAAAAGAAAATTAGTTTAGCAAAGTATATGTTGAGCTTAAATTTAGGGCTACTCTCTATTTTTTGAAGACATAAGTTAACTAGATTAAAATCGGGATTTTTTTAAGTATTAATCATGAAAATTGGTCAAGTGAGAATTTTTATGCACAGACATAAACAAAACGCACACTATCACAATAACTTCCAGGATCAATGTGTTAAACTAAAAACAAATTGTGTTTTCTTAACGTTGTAAAATATTTTTTATTTAAAAATTTCTGTCCTATACTCAAAAAAAAATTAAGAAGTCATTGCACTGAGTAAGATGGGTTGGCAATTTGAGCTAATTCAAATTTTCAAAATCATTTTTCTTGATTTAAGTTGGTATTAGCAAAATATTAAAAATAAGTGTAACTCATATTAATGTAGAATCAATTTAAATAATTTTTATGAGAATCAGTGAATTAAGATACATTTAAAGGATTCATGTTTGCTGGAACAATTTAAAAATTAAATTATAAACATTAGTTAATAATGCAAAATTACTATTTTGAATCCACTCATATGAGCAGGTAAAAGGTCAGATCCACAATAAAATGGAAATAGCCAATATATTTATATAAAAAAATTTTTTTTGATTAATTCATTTTTAAAAGTATTTTGGTAATTTTAAGTAAAAAAGTTTTAAAATATTTCGAAATTCACTGACTTAAAAAATCATAATTTTTGGGATTATTTCTCTTATTTACGGGAAGAGATGAAACTTTTTACAATTATTGAGGATTATCTTCAAATCGGCCTAGTAGGAACTGAAAAATGACAGACAAACAAAAAAAACATCATAATAAAATTGATACCTTCTAAGCTTCCATTAAAACTAAAATATTTTATGGATGTAATACTAAACTTCAGATCATTTATAATTAATAAATATTGATCACAAAATTATGAATATCAATTATTTTATTCATCTTGTTATCAGGGATTCGGAACGGAGCAAATTTTGTTCCGTTCCAATATTTGCTCCGGAACGGAACTATTAATAAAAATCGTTCCGGCTATTTGCTCCGGAACGGAACTCTTCCTAAAAATCGTTCCGACCATTTGTTCCGGAACGGAACTATTAGTAAAATTCGTTCCGGCTATTTGCTCCGGAACGGAACTTTGCCTAAAAATCGTTCCGACCATTTGTTCCGGAACGGAACTATTAGTAAAAATCGTTCCGACCATTTGCTCCGGAACAGAATGGTAGCTACAAATTGTTTCGCAAAAATGCTTTGGAACGTTCCTATTTATTTTCACCCCTCTAATATTTATTAATCACATTTAAATTATTATTATATTTTTTTATATTAATCTAAAATTAAATTTGTATCTTTTATATAGAGGTGAGCCTCTTACGGATTTAGATCTTTGTACTTAAGTCCAACTGGAGAGCGTTATATTCAGCCTATTTAATTATTTTAACGTATTGCATTGCTATAACTAGATTTATTTTAGCAGTCGCTTTTCTGAATTTATAAAAACAATCTTATTATTGACGAGTGATGGAACTTAAATTTTAATTTTACCGTGTCATTTTTACCATAGAGTTACTCTATGATTTTTACACGTAAATAACAATGCAAATACAATAAAAATATCTATTGATCAGAAATTTGCATGAAGTTGTTTTTTTTGTAACATTAGAAAGTAAACTTGTCACGAATATGAGTTGACAGCATACATTCTATTCGAGGGCATCTGGACGGATTAACCGTCCTTTTAGTAGCTGATTTTTTAATAAATAATAAAAATAATTTAAATTCAAATAATTAATTCCCCAACAATTTCAGTTATATCCAATGTTTCAACTTGACTAAGTACCAAATACTAATTTATTACTAGATATTATTATTATAGATTTTATATAACACAATGAACTATATAACGTGATCTATAAAATTTTTCATGGTTGTGAATAAATTATTAACACTTTAAATACTATACTACTTTTTTAATTCACATACAATTTTCTATTTAATAATCTTAATTTCAAATTTGAAGTTGAGTTATAAGTTATGGTAACAAATAAACCTTTTTTTTCATTATAAACTTTCAAAAAATTAACTTTAAAGACCAAAAAATAGGTTAAAAATTATAATTTGCACTGATTATTTTTAACATATTAAATACGTTAAGTAATAATTATTTATGGCATAATTATTAATATTTTGCGCAAAGGATTTGAACAAATGTTGCAATAATTATATTGATTACATATTAAATATAAAAACTCCATACGCAAAATATTATTATAGTTCCGGAACAAATAGTCGGAACGATTTTTACTAATAGTTCCGTTCCGGAGCAAATAGTCGGAACGATTTTTAGGAAGAGTTCCGTTCCGGAGCAAATGGCCGGAACGATTTTTACTAATAGTTCCGTTCCGGAGCAAATAGTCGGAACGATTTTTAGGAAGAGTTCCGTTCCGGAGCAAATGGCCGGAACGATTTTTACTAATAGTTCCGTTCCGGAGCAAATAGTCGGAACGATTTTTAGGAAGAGTTCCGTTCCGGAGCAAATGGTCGGAACGATTTTTACTAATAGTTCCGTTCCGGAGCAAATAGTCGGAACGAATTTTACTAATAGTTCCGTTCCGGAACAAATAGTCGGAACGATTTTTAGGAAGAGTTCCGTTCCGGAGCAAATGGCCGGAACGAATTTAAATAATAGTTCCGTTCCGGAACAAATGACCGGAACGTTTGTTAGCAAAAGTTCCGTTCCGGAGCAAACTCGGAACGGAACGAAATTTCAAGTTCCGGAACAATATTTTTGTTCCGTTCCGAATCCCTGCTTGTTACTTCAACATTTCAATTAAAAATAAAATTTTTCAAATTACAATAAAATGAATAGAAATATTCACATTCGCTTTCAACTTTGACGTAAAACATTGTATTTTTAAGGAAATTAATTCGTTAATTATTATTATTTTTTAATTGCATTACCACAGTAAATTGTATAATATTACTACTAAAATATTCAATAAAATATAAGTTTTTCATTTTTTACGTTTATTAGTTAGTAAAAAAATATATATACTATACAAAAATGATTTATTTTATAAGAGAATTTCTTATTTAACTTTTTATAATTAGTTTTATAGTACAAATACTTCTAGTATTAAGTCTAAAGTGTTGACGGTTTGCAGATATTTTTGAAGATTAGTCCTTGAATTAGGTTTTATATTAAATCCCTTTAATTTATGCCAATCATCAAATAATGTTATAATAATGACTGAAAAAAAAATTGACAATTACACTGTATTACAATTTATTTTCATGAAAATAATATACCTTGTAAGCGTTTTAACCGATTTGGACGTTTAAAAACTTCTTCTTTCAATTTTTCTTCATTATCGATCATTTTTAAATATTTTTCAGTAAGTATTTCAGAGTTAGTATTTTGATTAACAGATAATTGTTTCATAGCTCCAATTAATTCCAATTGCTTATAATTTTCAATATCTGTCTTAAGTTTGGGTACAATAATATTTAACACATTATTAAGACTGTTAACTGAGATATCTGAAATAAGATATATTAGATGATATTCTTTGAAGTATAAAATATTTTCAAAAACTAACCGTATGATATATTTAATATAATATTTCTTTTTGTTGCTTCTTTACTGAAGTTATCTTTAAGTATCGCTATCGCTGTAATGTTGTCGGTTTTAAAATTTATCAAACCTCGTCTAATATTATTAAATTATATAAATAATTATTCATAGTTCATGAAATATATACAAATTTATATCTAAATTTAACATATAGGAAATAAGAGCACATTCAGTAAAATTTTGGGGGGGCTACAGTAGTTATGATTATATTAGTAATATTTTTTACGGCAGTTCTTTAAGTATAATTTTGAAAAATAAAAAAAAATGTGCAACCCTCATTGCCTTAAAAAACGTCAAAAATCAAAAGATTAAATTTTTACTTTTTTCTAATTGTTCATAAAGAAGAATGGAACCCATATAATAATACTTAAAACATCATTGGATACTACTTTTTACGAGCTTTTAAAATCTTTTTTAATTTTTGTAATAAAGCCAATTTATTAAAAAAAAAACATGTAATTTTTTTTGTCTGTTCATATTTCTGAAAATATTGGAAATGGAAAAAATGATAAAGAGAAAAATGTTTATTTTTGTATGTAATATAAGTAAATAATTTCCTTCATTATAATATTTAAAAATCCACTATAAATAATGTTTAAGTTTTATTTAAATCATATTATTTGAAATTCAATAATTTTTTAATATTAATACTAATAATAGATCAAAAAACATTGGATAGATAAAGTGTAAATATTCACCTAGAATTTTAATTTTAAAAACAGCAAATCACTCAATATAAACTTATTAACTATTTTTACATATCATATAACAAAAATTGTATTAATGTCATGAAATTATTCAGATTCGACAATTTTATACTCACACTATCTGAATTATTTGTAAATTCAAATAACGGATCATGATCTTATTATTTATTTAAAACATAATTATTGAAAATTAAGTAACAAACAAAATATTTGTTAAAATTGAGAGCAATGTAATAGGGCATCAATCAAGGTGTCATAGGCGAAAATTTAAGAAAAAATTCAAGGAAACTAAATTTATTTTACTCCATTCTAAAATTTCTTTACATAACAATACATTTTACAATTTTATTATAACATTTTGAATTCTAAGCTCTCAATGTACACCTAAAATCAGAATCCGAATTTATTACCTAGATTAACAGACAATCAAAATAGTCCAGATCTGGTATTTACATACAGTCCTAAATATACTCAGTTTTAAATTTTGAAAACTAAACAAAATTACTTATATGTACACAGTAATAATGTATCAAATAATAATGATACAAATGAATATTCTATGTTATCTTGAGAGGCTGGTTTTTCAGGAATTCCAGGTAAACAATTAGAAAGCCATGTATGAACTTCAGCTAAACTGAAGTTTCCAGTTAATGTTAAAAAACTGCAAGGTTGATATCTAAAATGAACACACTCAAAAATAATTTAAAGTTATATTTATCATTGTTTGTAAATTATTTTTATGTGTAAATAAAATAACTAAAATATATTTATCTACTCCGTCTTCAATAAAAACGGCTTCCATATAATATATCGATTCCTTATAACACAAAAGTACAATGTCCATTTTTTTTTACTTTGAAGTTCCCATCTCCAGTGTTTTTAGCTTCGATGCGAAGCTGAGAAGGTATTAATTTTACCATGATGTGTTTTTTTCTTATTTTTTATTTTTGTTGTATCTGTTGCCACTTTTTCTCAGCTCTCATTGGACCGATTTCTTTCAACAATACGTCAAAAGATCACAAATCATATCTAGTTGAAGACATTACCCTTAAAAATTTTACCTCGTTCTCCGCAAATGGAGGAAATCTCCAAAAAAATTAACATTTTTAAAATCGGTAAATTTTGTCATTTATTTCAGTTTTTTTTCTTAAAACTTCCATAACTTTTTCAAAAATCAACAAAATAACATAATTTTTTTTTAATTTAAACCTTAGGTAATTTCCTTTCATTTGATATCATTCTTTTTGAAAATCTAACATTTAACCTGATCACAGGGGGGGATTTAAAATAGAAACTTTTTACAAAAACTAACTTTTTCAACTTAATTTTTGAAAATGTTCCGGAAATACTGCGTCCTTTCGACATATATAAAATTAAAGCTTATATCATATACTATAAAATTAAAAAAAAAAATTTGTCTCGACGACCTATTTTCTATGCGCAAATAGCTACTATATTCAAAAATATGTTATTTTTGTGTTAAAATCCTGGGTTTTGTATTTTATTAAATTTTAAAATATCTTATGAAGGCAATACACTGACTTTCATGAATATTATATAATTTAATTGACATAGAATAAAGTTCATAAGACATAAAAAATTAAACATATTTAAATTTTTTTGCTTTTTTAAAGTCAAAAAAGTTACTTTTAAATTTGACTTAGCTTAAATTGCTAATTTTATTCATGTTAATATTATTTTACTATGTATTTTTTTTGAGGCCGCAATTTATTTTTCCAACCCTCACTCAACCTACTTTTTTCAACGATACGTCAAATGATTACAATTCGTATTTAGTTGAAGATATTACCCTCAAAATTTGAAAAAAAATCCTTTAATTAAATTACAAGTCGCTTAACCAACTTTATCCATACAAACAATTAAAATCATTCATTTCTAATATTTTTAAAGTATATATTGTCGAATTAGATATAATATTATATAATTTTACTTTGTAATTTATTAATCTTTTTACTCTATTTTTGTGTGCAACTACCAGTCTATAACATTCCTAATTTTTTCGTAACATGTTGCTATAGAAATCATAAATCTAAAAAAAAATTATTTTTAGTTTCACCTGAATTTAACAATGGATGAAATAAAAAATTTACTGTAAATAGTAATTAAAAAATGTATTGATTGCATATTAATCTTAACAATACCATTTTTTCTATTTAATGATGTTAATTTCAAACTTGCAAATTGAGCTAAAAGTTATGGTAATAAATTCATTTTTTTTTATTATAAACTTTATAGGACGAAATAAAGAAGATTAAAAATTATTACTTTTAACATATTAAAAATCAATATCAATTTGAAAACAATTCAATATAACAATTATATAATATATAATTTTATATTATATTTTTGAATCTAAGAATTACTAATCTGGATATAATTAAGGAAATAGTTGATGTTACTTTTGTAATTATCCACCAATTTCTTAGATTTAAACATTATATACAGATTTGCATGGAAGCGTTTCTTATAATAGTGATTTTAATCACTGTCATATTAAATCAATACTAGATCCAACTATGCCACGTCCCCCACTGTGCCTCGATCCCACTGTTCTGGGTTTTTTTCATAGTAAAGTATATAATATAAGCTTTAATTTAAGATTAAATAAAAGTGTTAATATTTCAGGAACATTTTCAAAAATTAAATTGAAAAAGCTTAAATTGTGTGCAAAAATTGGTTTTTTAAACCCTCCCCCCTGAGAGCAGGTTAAGTGTTAGATTTTCAAAAAGAATGATATCAAATGAAAGGAAATTACCTAAGGTTTTAAATTAAAAAAAAATTATGTTATTTTGTTGATTTTTGAAAAAGTTATGGAAGTTTTAAGAAAAAAAACTGAAATAAATGACAGAATTTATTTTAGATTTTAAAAATGTTAATTTTTTTGGAGATTTCCTCAATTTGCGGAGAACGAGGTAAAATTTTTAAGGGTAATGTCTTCAACTAGATATGATTTGTGATCTTTTGACGTATTGTTGAAAGAAATCGGTCCAGTGAGAGCTGAGAAAAAGTGGGAACATACATATGGTAAAATTAATACCTTCTCAGCTTTGCATCGAAGCTAAAAAAAAATTCGAAATATACATTTTCTTTTTGGTGAATATGGCTACCATATTAAAAAATATGCTATTTTCGTGTTAAAATTCTGGGGTTTGTATTTTATTTTAAAAGTTAATTAGAAATGATTATTATGATTTTTATTTAAGTGATCTATTACGATAAAAATGTAATAAAAAAATCGAACATTTCTGATAAATTTACTGTAAATAGTAATTACAAAATTTATTGATTGCATATTAATCTTAACAATAACATTTTTTCTATTTAATAATATCAATTTCAAACTTGCAAGTTGAGATAAAGTTATGACAGTAAATTCATTTTTTTTTTTATTATAAACTTTCACTTTAAAGGACGAAATAAAGAAGGTTAAAAATTATTACTTTTAACATATTAAAAATCAATATAAAAATAATTTGAAAAAAATTCAATATAACAATTATAATATAATTTTATAATATATTTTTGAACCTAAGAATTACTAATTTGGATATAATTGATATTGCTTTTGTAATTATCCACCAATTTCTTAGATTTAAACATTATATACAGATTTGCATGGAAGCGTTTCTTATAATAGTGATTTTAATCACTGTCAGATTAAATCTATAATAGACTCAATATGCCACGTCACCACTGTGCTTCGATCCCACCGTGCTGGTTTTTTTTTTTTTGTAATAACATTGTAAAATTTAAAAAATTTATTTTAAAAAATGCCATTAAAATTATTTTAAAACTTACTCAATTTTTTTGAAGGTTCTTTGATGATATAAAAGAGGTTTTATGGGAAATTTACAAACTTGACAACTTTTTGGCTGTAATAAAGGAGTGATATAAGCAGTGAGTATTCCATTTTCACCTTCATAAGCCCACATTTTTAATTCTAATTTAGTTGTGTTTAATTGACATCTGTAGGTAATCAATAATTTATTGTTATCCTAAAAATATAAATGAAACAAAAAAATCTAAAAAATGTATAAAAAGGAATTAAAAAGTATTTATTATTCTTTTAGACAATTCAAAGAATACTAAGGAAAAATTGAGCTAACATCTCTATCTCACAAATTATAATTATGTGAATAAAATTATTTTTTGAAGAATTAACAACATTGGATGACCAGAAGAAAGTAATAATATTTATGTATAGTATAAGGATTCATATGAAAATAAAAAATAAAAGTTAGGAATGAAAAATTTAGTATTTTTAAATTTCAGTGAGCAATCTAGCTAAAGTCCAGGTAAATTAAATTTTAAAATTAAAATTTAGATTTTTTTAAACAAAGAATTCAGACTGAACTTGACTTTTGCTTATTTATGTTATATATTAATGAGTATACATTAGCACTTGACCTCTTCATTATATTTGCTTTTGCTCACTACTGCTGTGTTATTATTTTCGACATCAACAAAATTTACTAAACAATTACATTGTAATAAAATATTGTCAATAGTAGCTTCTAATTCAATTATCAAATGATAAATTAAACTTTCAGAATCCAAATTTATCTAAAATTTACAAAAAAAAATGAAATTTTAAATATTATTAAACCAAAAATATTTATTTAAAAAATGTATAAATTAATCATACTACATTACAGTATTTTTAATTGCCAAATATGGTAACACAGAGGTTCTTGCACTTTTTTGTGTAAATTCCAAATATTTGTCCCTCTCTATGGAGACTAATCTCTCTAAATCACTAATTTCATTCCTGTAAAATTATTCAAGTTTACTTTAATACTTTTTTTGTTAATTCTTGTGAAAATGTATGTAAGTATTCATTTCTATAATATTCATATATATTTACCTAAAGTCTAAAATCTTTTGTTTATCATCATTGGTAATAATATTAGAAGACTCTGATATAATTTTTTTATCAATATGTTGATCAACAAAAGTCAGTCCAAACAACCAACCTAAAAATATTAAATTGTTACTGAAACTAGTAAATAATAAACCAAATAGGGTTTTATTAAATATATTTTTATTTAAAAATGAGACCTGTAAAAGTAGTAACTATAACTTCTGGAATGCAATAGTTTCTTATAAATCCACCTTGTACTGAGGTAATACTTTCTGAACAAATCTATATAAAAGTTAAAATAGAAGTAATAATGATAATAGATATTTATAATAAATTTATATAATATTGTGAAGAATTTTAACGACCTATAAAAGATCACTATGTTGGTAGTTTAGGTGATTAATATTATTTCTAAGTTTTCTAAATAAATTTTTATCAAACAAATTTTGAGAATAATTTTATTAGTTCTATGATTTGCTACCATCTCTAATACTTATTTTAGAATTATTTAATGTGTTCAAATAACAAATATTTTTACAACATAATGGCAAAACACATCTAAATCAATATAATTAAGAAAATTTGTAAATATTACTTTAATTGTAGAAAAAATGTTTTTATCAGTCAAAAACTATAGACATAGATTATTTGGTTTTTAACTTTTTACTATTGTCTAAGTTTCAACGTAATGAATCTTAGATAATAATAAAAAAAATATACATACAACATAAAATTCTGAATGAGATGGTACTAAAACCTCATTTATATAAAAAATGAAATATTATATTAGATCTAAGTTTAAAGTTTCAAGACAATCCATTGTAGTAATTCTGTACTATTTATTATTATTTGAATATTACAAAATAACTTACATATTTGTATTTTTCTATAGGCACAGAATTTGAATCTAATGAATATACTTCAACAGAACCACTAAGTCGCCCTACTAACAAATGATATTCCCCATCAATTATAAAACAATCCATACATGTAACAGTTCCTTGAGTATTATGTATTTTCAATTCCCATAGAACACTTACAGAAGCATTTCTAAATAATTATAATTTTTTTGTTTATTTCAATAGTATAAAAAAATTATTTTTTAGCAAAACAGTAATATAACAAAAACAAGTATTAAGAAAATCATGATTAATAATTAACTTATTTTTTATGCATTTTATACATTTAATACAATTATTTTGTCACAAGTTAAAAGTAATAATTTCATTTACTTTTCTACTTTTAGAAGTGTAATACCACCATTTAGAAATCCAACAAGAATTTCATTTCCTTGTGCACCACCATTATTTTTCATAAGACATAAACAAGTAGGTTCTGAAGATAAATAAAATATTTCTTTAACAGCCGATCCTTCCAGTACTCTAATACACAGATCAGCACAAGCTAAAATAGGTATTACAGTTTGCATCTAAATAATATATTAATATCATTACTTCTTATATTTAAGGAAATAAAACAATTACTATTATGAATACCTTTAAAATATCTAATACTAATAAACTGTTAATAGTTTCAGGACATAAGTATGTGTTACAGTCTTTACAATCACTAAAGTGATTAAACACATGTCTGCCAGACACAAAAAGTTCATTTCCACTGACATACCTGAAATTATTATATTTAAAAATATAATCTCACGCAGTAGTAGTAAAAGTACAGCCCCCATACTTTACAAGATCTGTACATAACAGTGTTATAGTTAGGGTTTATTTTTGGAATATAGATAAAAAAATTTCTTTATTACCTCAAGGTGAAAAATAATTGTATTTTACAACTGAATCATTTTTACTGGGGGATAGGTATTTTTACTGTAACCCCTTAATCCCTTCCTTCCTAGTATGGAGCTCCCTAAAACCTAACACAGACACTGTCTATACACCTAATCAACTCACATGCATTTAACAGGTTCAGTTAATCCTGTATCGAAACTTAAAAACATTCTTCCCTTTTTTGTGTAACCCTTTACAGATGTGCCCATAGATACAAATATTTTATCTTGAATTGTACCTTTAATTATTAAAATAAGCAATTAAAAAAAGTTTATATCTTATATAAAAATATACATCAAAATTTAATACTGTAATTTCATCTAAATTAAATTTTATTTATTATGGCTAATATTTAACAATTCTGATGTCTTTAGTGTTATCAAAACTCTATAATTATAATTGAAATGGCCTTGCAGGGTGAATGAGTGGCTATCACCACACAGTTCTGTAGAAATGTTAATTGGGTCTTATGTAATATAAAGTTAAACAAAAGTACAATTAATCTACTAGTTATTAAAAAAGTTGTTAGATTTTTATTTTAAAACATTTGTTTTGGAGACAAAAGATTTCCATGAAATAAAATACCAAATGCTCCTCCAAGACAAATGTTATTTATTTTATCCAAAGGTAATGTTTTAAACAACATATTCATTTTTCCTTTACGTATTTGAAATAACTGCAAAATACCTTCTTGATCACCAACAATAATCTAAAAATAAAAAAATATTAACTAATTTACTTTATTAATTAAATAAACTAATTAGAAAATACTTTTTGGGTTTTATTTTCAGCTTCATCATTCTGAGAACTTGGTATTATTTTCATGCAATTTGGTGATACCATTCCAAGCAAAGTATAATCTGCTCTATACAATTCCATTATTATAATATCAATACACTTAATAAACAATTAATGAAGTAATATAAATACAGACATAATAACTCCAAATTTCTCTTATGCTTAATAATAACATAAGGTTTTTAAAAATTCAGCTGTATAATAACACAGGTTTGAAAATATCACTAAATATACTCAAAACATTTGTTATGTTAATGTTACTATGGTAACAATGTATATATAATAATAACAATATCTATTTTATCTACCCATAAAAAAAAACTGTTATAGAAAAGTATAGAATGCTTCAAATAAACAAAAAAAAATTTTATGGCTCTAATTGTCTAAATATATAACTCGACAAAAGCTAAAATATTATAGAAGACTATAATATAAAAATTTAGTAGAAGGAACAATACTAGTTATGGGAAATAAAGAATTTGAGGTGGAAGTGGAGTACAAATAAATGAAATAAGCAATTTAATGATAATTATAATGGGAGAGAAGTTAGCCTAGAAGGGATTGAAAAATATAGCTTGGAGGCAAGACTTAGAACTTGAAAAAATAATGTAAAATTACTATGAGAAGAAATAATATACTGAAGAGCTAAGAGGATACATTTGGTTGTAAAAGAGGAGGCAAAAGAATTTATAACAATTAATAAAACACTTAAATTTTAAATAATAATAAAACTTTATTAACCTACTTTAATTTTTTAGAAATAAACTTTTAACATCATTTTTTATAGATTTATATGTAGTATGTGTTACATTTTTAAGCAGTTCAATAACATTTTCTTCTCTAAAACTTTCAAATTCTTCTTGATCTAAAAAGAAGATATTTTTTTTAATTTAGGTAGGCCAAAATAAAAAGAATTTACTTTACATACTTTTTAAAACCAAGTGACCAAATAGTTCACATGTTCCTGATGTACATTTTACATCTTTAATACCTAATATCAAAAATATTTTGAATTATTAAAACTAATATAGCAAAAAAATAATATGATAATATCGTTAAATAAACATTAATAATAATAAACAAATAAATAAAGTCAATAATTTATTTAAATATAATTAAACCTATTATAATTTATCCATATTGTACGGGAAAATTTAAAATATAACCTTTATTGTTTAAATTCATACTAAAAAAATTGTGCATAAGATTATTAATAAATATGATGCTTCAGTACCACAATTTTCCAAACTAATAACTTTGTATAATTAAGTTTCTTTTAAAAAAACAACTTTAAAAAAGTGCATTCTTCATTATTTTTAAAAAATTTTTAAAAATAATTACATTTTTTATTTTTACTTAATTATTTTATATTTGTGTATATGTTTTTAGTGTATGTCAAAGCACTACATAATTTACTGCATGCAAATTCCTTTTATCAGCTGTAAGTCAAAAAAAATTTAAATAAATATTACCAGAAGGTGTTCTAGCCCAAATATAAATTCTTATGCAATTCCTTGTTTCATTTTCAAGATTACACTTATTAATATCTAATCCTCTAGTAATGTAAATATTATGAGGAATATTTTTTGATTGAAGATAATCTATTAAGATACAAACTTTCCTAAAATTAATTAAAAACATTATTTAAAAAAATATATAATTATCAAATAACACACAAATGATTGCTTTATTAAGCAATCATTCAGCAATTATTGCTGAAAAGGGACCATAAGTCAATTTATCTGACATTTTTATGCAATTTTATCATAGAATTACTGATAATATTGTTATTTTCATATGTAGTTTTATTATTTGCAATGAACTATTATTTAAATTTGGTTAGTCGCGCAAACATTTTTTGTTTTAAATGTCTCCGAAAAACTAAAACAAAGCAACTTATTTCCTTTCCCATAAAAATGTCAAAATATCCTAAATTATAAATGAAAAAAAATATTTGAATAACAAATTTTAAAATAGCATTCTAACTCTGACTGAACATTACTGTTTTCGAGGTAGAACTAAAGAATTATAAAAAAAATTGTTTACCTCACAAGATCAAGTATTTTATCTATTGAACACAGAAAAAACACAAAACCTTTTCCAGGATAATCTTTTATGATATAGCAAGATCCACTTAAATATTCTACTTCCTATAACAAAAATTTATAATCAAAATAATTAAAAAAAATAGTTTGAAATATTTTATTATAAAAAATATTAAAGAGAATGATTGATTTATCATTTTTTCTAATATAATAATAATTTTTAGGTTTTTTTTTGGTTTGTTAATCCTCTAATCTCAGAAAAGATGAAATTAATTAATAGGTCATATTTTATGACATGATGGGAAACAATTACTAATTTTAGGACGAATGATCAATGGAAAAAATCATTAAGGAAGACTAAAATTGCAATACATAAATAAAATAATAGAAGTTTAAGGATGTAATTCATATTAAGAGTTGAAGAGAAAAGCTAGTAGTGATAGAGAAACATGGAAGTTGTTGCAAACCAATCATTAGATTGAATACTACAGAAGAAGTTCCTCTAATAAAATCTTGATAAAAATTTATATGTTTATGTTAAAACTCACACAAGTTTCAAGATACATTTTGTAAGGTAGATAATAAAAATGCAAATGAAGATGATTCACTGAAGCATAAGCACATAAACTATTATAACCAATACGCATAGCTCTAAAATATTAAAAATAGTAAGTATTCATTAAAAATTAATAGTAAGACTTTTATTTAATAATAAGAGATAACTTACGGGGAAGCACTTAATAATAGTATTTGTAATGATAAGTGAAGACTGTAATTATTAATTGATTGTGGTAATTTACTTGATATTTTTGGCAAAATCAATGAATGAAAATCTCCTAATGGACTTGAATTTATGGCTAATATATCATCTATACCAAATAATTTTTGTCAAAATTGATGATTCTATAAAATGTTCTTTATTAAACTATTGAATTACCAGAAGAATTTTCACAACTATTGTAAGGAGATTCCAACTTAAATAAATATTCTTCATGATTAATTTTAGTAAAGTTGAATAAACTGTCATCAAATGGTTGTAACACTTTATGAAAACTGGCTGGTGTACGTCTTTTTGTTGCCCTGTCAATATTCAACTTTAAAATAAACAATAATTAATCAAACCATTAAAAGTATATTAAAATTAAAGACTTACTACTTTAATAAATTGATATTTTCCTGGTAGTCTAACAACGTTTTGTGATTTGTACTTGTATCTAAACAAATTTTTTTCCTCTTTTTCAATCCAAGTTTTTTTAAATAGTTCGTCAAATTTTGAATGAGTAGAAATAGATGTCCATGATACATCAAAAATAAAATTATCATCATTATATTTAAACATTATATGAATAAAGTTGATGTTAAAGTTCTTCACCGGAATATTCTTTAAAATTTTAAATTCAAAACTTATGTTTTAATTTAACTTTAAATTCTTGATAATGTCTTGTTTATTATCAGCTCGTAAAAACTAAAAATTATTATCAATTATTCTATGTTAACTAGTTGGTTGTCAAATCGGAACAATTTTTTTGGAGAAAATTTAGTAATAGACCCGTGAAACCAACCCAACCTCATGGTCATAACTAAATTTCTTCTAGAAAGAACGATTCAATATTTTTACCACCCCAAATACAGCTAAAAAACATTTTGTTAATTATAAAAAATATTTAGAAACCAGGAATTAATTTAACTATTAGAAATTATACAATGTCATTGTAGTACCATTATTCAATAGATACAATTACGTGTTTACAACAAATATACATCGAAAAATGTATTAGATAAAGAGAAAATTATATATTAAACAATAAAATAATACATATAATTTAATTCATTATAAAATAGTATGTGATGCACACTGTATTATTTAGTAAACCTATCGTTGCTTATGTTACTATAAAACTTAGTAACGGTTATTTTTGTAACTTTAAACTTCGATACAAGGCTGAGAAGGTATTTATTATACTATGTGTTTATTAATTTATTTATTTTTGTCTATGGTCACTTTTTCGCAGCTCTCATAGGACAGATTTTACTAGACGATACATCAAAAGATCACAAATCGTATCTAGTTGAAATCATTTTCCTCGATAATAAAAATTTCCATTGCATGTTAACCTTTTTAACTTAACTAATGAAAATATTCCAAAAATACACCGAGTTTCAATTACATTATAAATTAAGCATATGATAATTAATATTATATAAAAAAAATTGTCACGATACCTTCTATTTATAAACGGTTTCCTATGCTAAACAATAAATTTTGATGTAAAAAAATCACTATTATTATATAAGTTAGTCGTACAGGATCATTTTTAATAATAAAGTTGGAAAAAAAATTATGACTGAAATGGGTGGTCTCTTTCAAATCCTTCCTGTACATAGATTTATCATTGAAATTTTACAAAACGCATACCAAAAGAGAGATTATCGCCTCCTTTATATCGTGTTACAATTATATTAAGATCATTATTTTTAAAAAGTTATAGCAATTTTTAAATGTAGAAAAATTTTGAGAAATTTCATTTTTGCGGTATTGTAATATTGAGATATTTTTCTAAATATTTATAATCGAAGGATTTTTCCTACTAGATTAAAATCGGTGCAATAAAAGCTATAATTTTTATGTGGACTACGTACATGCGTAAAAAAACGCATACCTTCACAAAATTAATACCTACCCAATTCCTCATTCAAGCTAAACATTTATTTTTATTTTTAAAATTTTTCATGGTGAAAAATTCATAGTTTATCATGTTGTTATAATTTTTTATTTTTTTAATTATTTAAGTCTATATTTCAAGTTAAACAGTATACAGAGTGTTCAGTAAGTAAAGAAACAGATTAATTGTTACAAACAATGAAAACAACAATTGAAACACGTTTCCTCATTTACTGAACAGGTTATAAAAATTTGGTAGGACACTCATTTTCTCAGAAACTATTGAGAATTTTTTATTTTTGTAAAAAAAAAAAATATTTGTCAAAAATATTTTTTTATTTTTGTAAAAAAAAAAAATATTTGTCAAAAATATTTTAATAGAATAGTTGTGTAGCTTTTAATATCAATCCAATAATTATATTAAAAGAAAATAGGCAAACAAAAAAAAAATGTTTTAGTTACTATTGCAATGGATTATGATAAATTAAAATTTTAATTTCATGACAGTAATAATAATTAACTATCAAAGGTCAGAATAATCAAATTAAGAAATCTAACTTTTTTTTTTTTTATGAATCCATTCTTATAATTTTGATACACGTTTACCATAGAAAAATATGATTATTTTTTTATAAATACTGTTACAAAATTAAAAATACGGTCTTTTACTTTGTCTTAAAAATATTGAGATCATATTTATGTATTATTTTTACCCCGTCCTTCAAAAAAAAAAAAAAACTTTATATTACTAGAAAACAATTATGGGGGGAAGCTTATGTGTCTTAGTCTCCCTATTGAACCTATAGCTAAAGATTTTTTTTTTTTAGTATATCAATATAATATTGACAATTTTCAACTTACAAACTTGTTAGTTTCTTTTACATTGCAAAGATAAATGTCTATAATTTAACTGGAACCTCAATTTGAAGATAATTATTTCTTCTGCAATACTAATCGAAAAAAAATAAATGATAAAATTGCATGACATTCATAAATTTCACAATTTTAAATCATACATATTAAATTTATAAATATTAGTATTGCATTATTTTATATCATATTTAATATAATAAATAATCATGCTTTGTAAATGTTAATAATTAAAGAAAAGTTATCATCAAACATATAATAGAAATTGGAATTACTTACTAATTAAGGGAACTAAACCTAAAACATATTTTTTTATAATTGCCTTTTTTTTTTTTTAATATAAATAACAATACTGTATTATAATATGGCAAGGTTAAAAGTATTGGATTTCTTTGGATATCTCACTTACTAGGAACAAATTAACTAGATTTCTACTTGAATGATTCCCAATGACGACAAATTGACATGGTGTAGTATTAAAAATAGTGGTGTGATAGAATTATCTAGCCAAGATCAATTTGGCGATCTTTGGACTACCAGAACCACTATCATTACCGTTTCGCATCGCTTGCACGCACCTCGGAAAGCATTAATGGCCGATCAAAGCGTAAATGATTAATGTTCGAAAATTCAAGATCAAGGTAAACATTTTAAAATAATTCATAAACCTACCTGGACAAGTTCGTGAGAATATTTCGAAAATTAAAATACTTCGAATAAATTATTTATAGAATTAAATTTTTAACTAATAAAAGCTTATTAAATTATTTATATTTAGACATTTATTTTATAGATACTCATGTGTCAAAATTATTTTTGCATTTTTTAATCTTTCATAGATTTTAATATATTTACATCTCCAGTTTTTTTATTGGTATTTTCTAAAAAGTTCCAGTCTAGTTAAGTTAAACTTAATCGTTAATTTGTAATTAATAAGCTACTTTAAATAGTTACATTCAATTTACATGATATGATGCATTTATTTTATAAAAAGAAAAAAAATATTATAACTCCAATCAGAAGAAATAGTAAGTTACCAGTACTTGACTCACCAATATCCTATTAGTTAACATATAAATATTTATTTATTTTTTAATAAGCATAAATTATCTACAATTTTCATCCACGGCGGTAGTTTCATAGTCAACGGTGGCTAAAAAGTTTCCATAATTAATGGAAATAGATATGATTTTGTAATACTAATAGCTAGTGGTGTTTTCGTATAAATATTACTGGATAAAATCAGAGATTCGAGTGTTATTATTTTTCAATTTTCATGTAATATTAGTGGTAAGGTGAAGGTTTTTCTTACATGCCATAGATATAATAACATATTGTGGTCATAGATAATGTATCCNCCTGGACAAGTTCGTGAGAATATTTCGAAAATTAAAATACTTCGAATAAATTATTTATAGAATTAAATTTTTAACTAATAAAAGCTTATTAAATTATTTATATTTAGACATTTATTTTATAGATACTCATGTGTCAAAATTATTTTTGCATTTTTTAATCTTTCATAGATTTTAATATATTTACATCTCCAGTTTTTTTATTGGTATTTTCTAAAAAGTTCCAGTCTAGTTAAGTTAAACTTAATCGTTAATTTGTAATTAATAAGCTACTTTAAATAGTTACATTCAATTTACATGATATGATGCATTTATTTTATAAAAAGAAAAAAAATATTATAACTCCAATCAGAAGAAATAGTAAGTTACCAGTACTTGACTCACCAATATCCTATTAGTTAACATATAAATATTTATTTATTTTTTAATAAGCATAAATTATCTACAATTTTCATCCACGGCGGTAGTTTCATAGTCAACGGTGGCTAAAAAGTTTCCATAATTAATGGAAATAGATATGATTTTGTAATACTAATAGCTAGTGGTGTTTTCGTATAAATATTACTGGATAAAATCAGAGATTCGAGTGTTATTATTTTTCAATTTTCATGTAATATTAGTGGTAAGGTGAAGGTTTTTCTTACATGCCATAGATATAATAACATATTGTGGTCATAGATAATGTATCCAATTTCCAATCACATACAATATCTACATCATTTTTTTATTTTAAGGTTACGAATATATAAAAACATATATTTGTATTACTTTTATCGAGTATACATTAATTTACAAAATCGAATGAGGGTATACGCCATATACTCCTGTAAACCCTTCATAACACTACTGCTAATAGAACTTTCAAGGAACTAATAATAAATATTGTTAAAAATGTTAATGCTGAAGAATATTTTAATTATAAAAACTTGAAATATTTTGTGGGGCATTGTATTTGCTATTTATTATTTTGAAATTAAACTATTTTCTCTTATTTAGTAGCGTAACCAGATGTTGCTTCTCCATTAACTGCAATATTTAGTATCTCCAAAATAAAACGAAGAATAAAAAATAGGTCTAATATAGCATAGGTTAGTTAAAGTGTATAAGTAGGTTATTGGTATAACTTAGTGTATAAGTTAGTTAGAGATTTTTCTGACCTTCCATCAAGAGATCTAGTGATATTAAACATTTTTAAATATAGCTTAACTAAGTTTGTAATTAAATTTAGTTGTGATACTTAGTAAATTTCCATCAGGTTTCCTTCTATAAAGTTAAATTTATTAAAATAATGTATGTGTTTATTAACATCACATTGGCTAGTAATTTAAAATAAATTCATTTTTAATTAGAATATTCACATTAATAATAAACAAATAAATTATACTTCTTAAGTTAAGAATAAACATTGAATAAAATAAAATAAACTTGAGATAATTTTTACAATTTTAAAGTTATATTGTATTTTTCTTCATAAAGTAATTTTTATTGTGTATTTTAATACATAACAAAAATCATTGAAATTCTATCAAATTGATTAATATATTATTTTATATCCTTTTTTTATGTAAAATATGCTTCTATAATAAAATATTTTCAAATATGTCAAAAAAAAAAAAATTCTATTTAATTAAGCGCTTTACATTCGATAACGTTTCGAATCCCAGTTATATGCCTGTACCCTAAAAAAATATACAATAGAAAAAAATTTCGATATTTATTCATAATGTATAATGGCTTGGTATTTACTTGTTTTTTTTTTTTATAAAAACAATTATAGAATTATTACATAATTACAATAATAATTTTTTTTATCGTAACATAGTGATAACAAAATTATTTTAAATTTCAATGATGAATTTATTTAGAAAATAATACATTTTGTTAGGTTCGACATTTCGACTAGTTAAGGAGGTTGGAAAGAAAAGTTTTGTTAAATAAAACCAAACGTAGAAAAAAATTCTAGGTACTTCATTAAATCTAAGGTTTAAATAAGTCTCTTTTACGGTAAAATGTTTAGGTAAAAGTTTTACCTAAAAATTTATATTATTTTTCCTATATAAGATTTTAATTTGAAAATTGTTTCCAGTTTTCAGATAGATACTGCCCTTCATCTGATTGGACAATGCTAGAATTTAGTTTCCACGACATGTGTTTGAACCTTTATTGTTTGTAGAGCAAAATTTTATTAAAAGTCAACAAATATATTCGATTATAAAACATAGGTTTCTTTTTTCTAAAGCTTTACAGTAAACAAATTGTATTTTATTAAGTTTGTGTGATAAAGAATATTATATTATTAAATAAAAAAAATTCTTTCTTCAAACATATTAATTTATATCACGTAAGAATAGATATTTTGAACTTCTTCGATAATTTTGATTTTTATCAATTGCCAATTGATAATGAGGTTTAGGTAACTGATAAAACTAATGGTTATATTAATTCAGATTGTTTAAATATTAAAACTTTTATATAGATATAGTTTGACCTAGTCAAATAGCTTTAACACTAAATTTAAAAAAAAATCCAATGGTGACAAGGGCAATTAATAAAATAATACAACAGAACTTCAATGACTTTAGCTTAATGTTCGTAGAATTTGTATACACAATTCAACGAAATAAAAACACATCATCTTAAATTAAAATAAATATAAATTGATTTTTGTACACAAATAAAAAATAATAACTCAAGGTCGATTTATCCCAAATAGTTAATGAACCAGTAATGATTGTAATGACTATTGAGTACCTTAAATGACGACCACCCGATGATCAGTAATAGATTCGTTTTCTACCAAAACCAAAACTATCGTTGCGCTTAGCGTTGCTATACCTAAACAAAATAAATTGGATAGATGTCAACAATTTTGTTAAAAAAATAAATTAGTTATTTTCGAATGCAATGACAGTGCTTCAGTTTAACACTGTTCATCAAAATGTTTACATCTAATTCAAATTATAAGCTTTGTTTTTATAAATGACTGACGCTTATTAAATGTCATAAACACAGCAGCTGTGCAATTGTGCACTGTGCTGTAAATTACTAGGTGTTTATTACACCCGATTTATTAAAAGTCTTTTATTTGTTATTATTTTGCATTTTGTATAGGTCATAGAAATGCGGACAGTTATGGTTTGTTTATTTTTTATTAACACTGTGTCTAGTTTACCAATTAATCAGAAAGATTCAAACGATTCATTATCAGAGGAAAATAAAATAATTGAAGTTGCTCCAGGAGATACAGCTATTCTTCAGTGTCCAAGTAATGATGATGAACATAGATTTCAGTTTTGGTGGTTCAAACCAAATATAATGATTGGTCCAGGACACGACATAGGTCATTCTAAATTCAGATATGAAGTGCTCACAGGGACTTTATTCATTAAGGTCAGCCTTAAAAATATTTTTGAGTAAATCAAAATTTGTAATTTTATAAAATTTATTTCTATTGTGTAGGAGGTAACATCTGAAGAAATTGGCGTTTATACTTGCATTTGCAAGCACTTAGAAGGCGAAACATTGTTTGTAAAATCTGTACAGTTAGCAATAAAAAAAGACTGGGAAGATGTATGGGAGCATGATTACACAGTAAGTTTAATTATTTGAATTTTACTTAATTATTTAAAAGACTCGTTAGTTTATTAAATCCATTCTTAAAATTGAAACTGGTTGGGTTGGGTGACTACATTGTCGCCGATCTCTAGGCATGTGTATTGCGGACACAATAAATTTTTAAGATAGGTAGTAGTAATATTTACTAATAAGATCTTAGGAAAAATCATTAAAATTTTTATTAAATTTTCCTTTTATACAGAATTAAAAATAATTTTTTTGCAAGCTAATTTTTTAGACCTTAAAATTTATTATTAAGAGTAAATTTTATTTTCATGTAGTACATTTTATAGTTGTTATTCGCGCCCTGCTGACTTATAAATTTCAATAGTTTTATATATTACTAAATTATGTTCCAATTTTTTTTTTTTTTTTTTAGTACATTTTTATAAATAAAATTAAATATTATTATTCATTAATTCTTATTAAATAATATGTTAAATGAATTGTAAGCTAGTATATATAATGATTATAAAATATTATAATTTTAATAGTACGGTATATACTGCTCGTTAGTCAGTTTAACAATGATTTAGTACTATTTTTAACGTTGCGTAGGTGCTTAAGGACAAGATTAACTGAGAATTGGCGTCTTTGAGTAAATAAAATTGCGTGATTTACTATATGTAAGTATTTACAAAAATTTTATTAAATAAAAATTAAAAAATGTTATAGTTAAATTTTGTTTAGCACTCTAAAGTAAAATCAAATTTTATTTTTATACAGAGCGTCTTCATATAAACACTATAATAAAACATACGACTAAAAATCAAATTTCACTGTTTTTAACGTCACTAAAATATTAATTAACTGTAACCATTTGATAGTTTAATAAAAACAATTATAACATTTTTATGTATAGTTTTATTGCTTTAACTAAGCACTTATAGACATTAGGTGTAGATCCTGAACTTTTTTTAGTAAGGCGCTAAACAGTTTTTAATCGTTAAAACCTTTTTTTTCGTTATTTTATGACTCAAATATATTTATTTAACTAGACAAAAATAGTTCAGCGCGCGCTCTTATAAGCTCGTGCTCACTAGATGTCCATAGAACAAGGGCGACATTTATATCACCCTTTTTACCAAAATTATATGATAAAAAAAAGGTATAAATTCAAATAGGCTGAAATCGATTAATTAAAAAATTCTGAGCAGCCTAATAAGTCAGCATGGGATTTGCCCTTACGTAATTCATGTTCAATTTATAAGTCATTTTTATAATAACATTCTAATTAATTTTTAGGTTACTTATATCTTATAAAATATTTAGTTGATTTCATAAAAATAATCAATTTTTGTTTACATAAAGGTTAATATGGTTCGAGTGGTCGCTGTAATTAGTGTATTGGTTTTGATAACTTTATTAATGTACTTATATTATTTAACAACCTACAAGACGAGCAATAGAACATTACATTTTAGAGGTAAATTTTAATTCAACTAACAGAAAAATACTATATTATTTTTAGTATTTTAATCATAATATTTTTCAGAAGATGATTCCGATGAAGATATTTCCAAAGATAAACAAATGTATAGAAAGACTAATGTTACAAAAGACAACATTTTCCACCATGGTATTGACAATCCTACTTTAGAAAATGATGTTGATCTAGACAAGATTAAAAATGAGACAAAAACTTAATTCTAGAAATAAGAATAAATAAATATTTTTATAACATTTAACTTTTATTATTATAAATAAATATTAGTTATTAAAAAACAAATAACATTATTTTGATATAAAATGAGAAAGATTAATTTGATTCACTCAAAACTTGAATCACGAGTAACATCCATATTATCGTCTTCTTCATCATCTTCTTCGTCTTCAACTTCCATTTCAAATAATCTGACTTTATGTTTACTCTGTGATAATAGCACAGCTACTTTTCTTGTACCACAAACAGAAAACTTGGTTGCAATCATATTTTCTATGACTCTGCTAGTATAATCAATTTGTTGTGATGCTATATTACAAACACATAGTCCATCAGTAGAACAATGACTACGTAAACTACTTGTGGATAATTGTATAAATAATGAATTACGATTATCCGAATCTATGGTTTCAGTAAGAATAGATAAAAACTCTTGGCTGTAAAATTGAATGTCATAAATAGTTTGTTTTGTTCCTTCATTCATATAAAACACATTGGTACTTCTTTGAGAAACTTCAAGTGTATCATCATAAGCCATCATTTCATAAAAACTGAAATCATAAGCATTTTGATCAACACAGCAAACTAATAATTTGTGTTTAGGCATATCAACCATAGTTACTTTATGAACTAAATTAGTTTGACTATGATTACTTAGTAAGACATTGTTGTAGAACACAAAAGATTTATCAAAGAAAGACTTTTTTTGAGCAAATATATTTACCAGATCATTTTTTAATACATTAAACTGTTGCATTAAAGATGCCTTTTTAAGTTCTGGAGTAATAATGGGATTTTCTTCTAAGCAAGGATTATCATGTAATATACTCCTCCATTGGTTATGTGTTTCATATGGAAATTCTAATTCTTTATCCAAAAAATATTGACCAACACAATCTAATTTATAGTTATTACGTTCAGCTTTTTCACCTAAATCATAAATGTATTCTGCTAAAAGATTAAGTTCTTGTTGTGAGGTATCTGTGAGAGAAGGATCTACTACAGTATTTTCATCATTAAGCTTAACCATCATTCCATATAACCATTTAAAAAATAATTTATATTTTGTCAATGACTCTTCTATCACTATTTGTACTTCATTACATTTTCGTAGAAAAATATTGACAGATCTTATGGCTTTTTCAATACTATTTTCAGTTAAACCTAAACATTCAAATTTTTTTAATGACATTCCAGATATTTCAACTAATTGAAATAAAATGTGATTTGTGACTTCAGATAATTGTTTTACAACAAGCTTTTGAATATTAGTATGACTTGATTCAATAGATAAACCAATTTTTTTAATTCCTTTATCAGTTAAGTCTTTTTTTAAGAATTGTTCCATACGCTCTGATAACACACCATAAATCAATAATTCCAATAATTCTGTAGATACTTTTACTGGATCTTCAGGAGCATATGAACTCAATTTTAATTCCATTTCCATTAATGAAACATTTTCCCAAGTTTCTAAAATATTTTTCATAGTTTGGTCCAAATAATCAAGTGAGTACAACAATTGGTCATGTTTGAATGATAAAACATAAACATCATTCCAATTGGTGTTATTCTCTTGTAATTTAATAGTAACAAGTTCTACCTGACCATAAAAATATTGTATAGCAATATATAAGTAGCTAAAATCTACAGGCATACACATATTTAATACAGTTCCTTCTTTTCCAAATATTTCAGCTAACTTTAATGTCCCGCATAAAAAAATACCTAAAGCTAAAATTTGTACTTCACAATTTTCCATTCCAACAAGTAAAAGATTTAGAATATCTTGACTTTTTGGTAATTTTTTTTCTTCTTCAGGTCCATCTCTAGTAGCTAAGTTTTGAAGTTTAGGAAGATAATCTATTCCCTTTGTCTATAATGATAAAAAAATTCTTGATTAAAAAAATTAATTAAAATTTAATTTTTCAAAAGTTACTTTTGTTAAAACAGAATCAATGGTTTCTCTTTTTTGAGGTTTTTCTTGCTGAACCCATACTAATGAAGTGATTTTACTATCAGTTCTTTTACTATACGCAATCTCTCTGTTTTCGATGTTAAGTAGTAATAAATCACCTAAAAAATTTTATCATATATTTATTTGATTCAACAGTTAAATAAAACAATAATAGATTGTACAAGAATCATAAGCTATTGCTAATTGTTTTCCATCAGGCCTCCAAGCCATAGCTGTTACAAGAATTTTTTCACCTGGTGCAGCTAGGGACCAAACACGTTGCCAAGTAAGTCTATGCAAGGATACTTCTCCTGGAAATATAAAACAAGCTCTAAGAACTTACACACATTACATCAATAATTATGAACATTTAAGTTTAAAATTTATGTTGTTTTTTTTAAATTTACCGTGTTCTTTAGCAATAGCCAACAAATCCATTTTATTAGACCATTCCATTTTCAAAACAGTAGTTGGAACATGTCGTTCTTCTAACTGTTTCATACCGTATACAGCCATTTTAATATGAGTAGTTTATACACTAGCTTGTTAAATAGTAAAAATATTATTAAAACGTTTAATATCACCTCATAATTAAAACAATCGTATATGTTAAGAGTAAAAATAATATAAAAAAAAATTCAAACTATTTTGAGTAACAGTTAAAAGATTTTGTTATCATTTATCAAACTATGGCTTATAGTATTCGCTATTTAATTGGTTAATAAAAACAACAGATTTAAACGGGACAGCGCTAATTTATAGATAAGTCAATATAACGAATATACAAATCTTCTAATTTCATACTGGAAAACTACATTTTGAATCATATAAATATTTATATGATTCATATATAATTAATATATATGTAAATATTCATAATATTTATATGAATATATAACAGCTTTTTGGCAGAAGTTTTAAAAAATAGAAAAATATTTCAATCTTAGCTACAATGATTTCATAATTATATACAAATACTTCAATTTGCAACTATTAAATAGATATTGACTGAAATAATTTATACAAGGGCAATCCTAGACATAATTTTTAAGGAGATATAAGGGAGAATTACACAGTAAAATCATATCACTAAAATGAGACATTTTTTAATCAGCATAGACTATAATATATTTTGCAAGGCCATGTATTTGCATTATTTCAAATATGCAATTAGATTTTTTCCATCACCTGTTTTTTTTAAATTATTACTATTTAGAAAACGAATACATAAATAAAAAAAAACACATCATAGTAAAATTAATATCTTCTCAGCTTCGCATCGAAGCTAAAAATAATTAAAAATAAAGAAAAAATTGTTATCAAGTTATTGATTTTTAATATGTTAAAAATAATTCGAGCAAATTTTAGATTCAAAATGTCATACTTGACTTTTTTTTAAAATTGATTATTACAAGAGTTTATAACTTAAAAATCCGAAACCAACTATAATACTGTCAACAAGATTAGTTTCAATTAAATGCAAAGAGCCTACAGATGGTAATATTGTTTCTAATTGTTTAAAATCATCAATTTTGGATACAAGAGATGATTTCTGAGCTTTAATTGCAAATATACCTAAAAATGTTAAACTTTTAAATACTATTTTACCTCAACTTCAAATAGAAAATTTTACGAGTATTTAAAAAATTGTACTGATTGATTGATATGTGATCAGGAACTTATACAATTACTATTAACAGTAAAAACATGAGATGAGCTCAAATTTTCATTAAAATCACTATTTTTTTTTTGCGTTTTCATCGTAATAAATCATTTTAATAAAAATTATAGTAAACATTTCTATGTAACTCTTGGTGTTTAATTAAACGTTACAATTGAAATATTTTGTATAGTTATATCCTATAGTATTCTATAATATATTGATATTCAGAAATAGTCTGTACCTAATATGACCTATGAATCTGTCGGCTAATGTGTTATTGAATTTTATATTAATCTATAATTTTTTATATGTTATTACTCATTTTTAATTTATTAATAATAATATAAAAAAATAGAGGTAATAGAAATTTGGTCTCCGATGAAAATTTTTTGTAGACCAGTAAATTTATTCATAAGAAACAAATATTTTTTTATGAAAAGTATTGCACCAAGTCCTTTGATTTTTACACATGTTTGACATAAAAACTACTTTATACATTTTTATAATTTATTGTAAAAATTAAAATACTGAACTATTAAATACCAATTTCAAACTATATTTAATTGCAACAATAAATATTTATTCATATATTATACTTATAAATCATAATTCAATAATAAGAATAATCCACCAATGTCATATAATTAAACACTATCTACTTATTTGCATCGAAGTTTTTTTTATGGTAGCGATTTCAATCGCTGTCAGATATCATTTATACTTGTCTCAACTATGCTATGTCCACACTCTCATTTCAATTCTTTTAAAACTGATATAACTTTTTAAAAAATGATTGGATCAAAACAAAAAATTTTTTTTATAAATACCTTAGGTATTTTCCTTTTATTATATACATTTTTTGAAAATCTAACCATTTACCTGCCTATAGAGAGGTATTTAAAAAAATTACTTTTGTATGTTAACCTTTTAAACTTGAAAATGTTTCGGAAATACACAGAGTTTCAATAACATTATAAATTAAGCTTATGATACATACTATTAAATAAAAAAAATTGTCCCGAAACCTTCTATATGTAAACGGTCTCCTAAGTTATACAATAAATTTTATTACGGTGTAAAAAAAAACACCATTTTTATATAGGTTGGGTTAGAAGCATTTTCTATAATAGAGTTGGAAAAAAAATTTTACTTCCATGGGTGGACTCTTTCAAACCCTTCAGGTTGGGTTTATCATTAAAATATTGCAAAACATTTGCCAAAAGAGAGATCATTGTCTCGTTTATATCGTGTTAAAATTCCATTAGGATCATTATTTTTAAAAAGTTATAGCTGTTTTTTAATGTAGAAAAAATTTGGTTAATTTCATTTTTGCGGTATTGTAATATTGAGATATTTTTCTAAATATTTATAATCGAAGGATTTTTCTAACTAGATTAAAATCGGTTTCTTTTGACGTATTAATCATTAAAATCAATGCAGTATAAGCTATAATTTTAATGAACAGACTTAACAAAAAACGCAACTTATCATAATTAAATTAATATCTTCCAAGTTCCTCATCGAAGCTAAATATTCATTTTTATTTCTATAATTTTTCAATAATTCCAAATAACTGTTTTTATAGCCATTTTAATAAAGATTTCAGGAGGAGCATGCATCATAAAATTTAATGTTTAATATACACTGTAATGAGCTGTAACTACTACCCTCCTTACTTTATGTATTAAAATGATTTTAATTCATTATGTACTCAAGATAATAATTTTAGAATTTAAAAAATAAATTTAATAAATTTATTCTTTTGTTTCAGAGGAACACACGTTTAAAGACAAATTTAGCTAAAAATTAACAATAATTCTAGAAATTCCATACTTTATTACACACCTAAATTGATATTCCATTAACCTTTAAAAAAATAACTCAGAATTGTCAGAAAATTACCAAAGATCTTTCAATTCTTGAAACTTACAAATTTTCTATTTAAATAATAATTTTAAATAAAAAATAAAAAAAATCTAAAAATACAGATATTTATTTGAAGGTTAAAAAAATTCATTAAATAAAGTATGTATTAATAATATTAATATTTACATATCTAAAAATTGTTAAGATAGAAAAATACAAACTAAGATTTATACTTAAACTGAATCCATTTCTTTATGCCTTTTAATGACATAAGTACAGGGATCATAACAGGTAAAAACAATGGAATGTACACTGCATATTTTTGATCATCAGGAAAATAAAGTAAAGCTAATAATGATGGATGAGTAAAAGCAAACTCTGAGGTTTCAAAAGCAATTTTGCTATATTTTAAAGCTTCTTCTAACTGCCCATTCTCAAGACACGTTAATACTAATAAAGCAGCTTCCACAGATTCTGTAACAGCTTTTCCAACTTCTTCAATTATTACAATATTACTTATTTCACCTAAAAGTCTTGATAGAGAAGTTAGTGTAATACGCGCATTGATATATTGTTCAACAATTTTTAGTCTATACATAGAATCTAATTGCCAAGCACGCAAAGTAGATGATTTTAGAGGAATAAGAGAAATGTATTTTGATACATCTGGAACACCTATTAATGAGTGGAATTGGGTAATTATTGGAGCCATTAAACTAAGATCATTAGGTGTAAAACTTTCAGATTTATTGCAGTTATTAGAATCAGTATTTAAAAACTGTACTCCACCCCAACGAGCTGACATCATTGATGTTGTGAGCCTATTGTTGTCTTGAAAATATAATGGAATATAAGAACATGGTGTAATATAAACAACAAAGTGAAGACATGGACTTTTTGATACACCAGAACCTGAAAATAAAACATTTTTAAACACAAAAAGTAAATTACAAGTGTAATATTTTTATTATATGACATAATTATACAAAGTATTAAGTTTAAATTCTCAGAATAATCATTTCTGTAGAAACATTAATTTACTTAAAGTATTTAGGAAAATATTTTATCTATATATTTCTTTGAATAAAATTCAAATTATGCTAAGTTTTCAAATAATATCTAAAAAAATACATACCAAGTTTTTTTTCTAATGGAGTAATGATATATTGTGCTTGGTTTTTATCCAATACATACGTTCCATTCAAGTTAGTAGGTTTTTGTGTTAAATCAATCAAATACAACCATTGTGATTGAACAGAGAATCGGGCAATTAAGCTTAATTGATTTAATAATGGCAAAAGATATCCTGAAATATTAATGATATTATATTATGGTGATAGTCAAATATTAAAAATATATATAACTAAAGCAATTTTAAAATTTTATTTTATTAATTTTCTAATTGGAAAATTCAAATTGGACTACCTATATATGTGAATTTGCGATTAGTAACATTGTTTTAAACAAGGTAAATCAATGTTAACAAATTTATTACTTTCTGTAGTTGTAAATAATGGACAAGTAAATAAATTAATATTTTTAAAAATAATAAAATAATTAAGGTATAATTAATAAAAGACTTTCCAAAGAGTTTATATCACCAAAATATTTTAGAGAAAATAAAACGGATTACTAAGTGTACACTATATATGAACCAATTTTAAATTTACATTAAAAAAAAAAAGGTCTCTTTAATAAACCCCACCCCACCAAATAATGAAATTTAGTAACAAGATTAATAATGGTAAAAAAAAAATGTTAGATAATACACTTATTTCTTTAATAAATAAAAATGAGTAAGTGTACCAATGTAAATAATAAAGTATTATCACAAAAATGATAAAATTATTCATCTATTCTATATCATATAAATAATCCAATTTTTAAATACATTTTAACAGAAATATACTTCAATCCACACCAGAGAAGAATTGGGCAAAAGGAACAATTGCTCTCTGGATTGCAATCTATAAGCGATGAAAGATAAGTATAATGGTTTGAAAAATTGATTTTTGATTTTTAATATTTTTGCTTCACATTTATTTTTATGAAGCGAGTTGGGCTGCCACAATTATTTACTCTTCTAGGCCTTTGGCCTCTCAGTCCGATCCTGTACTACACTATAAAAAATTTTGTCAAAACTCCAGGTACTTTAATAACATTCCTTGATATTCCAGAGATTTCACAACTCAAATAAAATTATCCTTAATTTTCCCCGATTTTCTGAATTTGTAGTATCCCTGATTTTATATACACTAATTCTGGGGATAATAAATTTTACAAATTTATGTAAAAAAGATTTTTGAAAAACTTTTGATGCCAATCTTTTTGGAAAGTCTTTAACAATATTTAATGTTATTTACTATTTAAAGGAATTTCTGGTGTCCAATTTATTTTCAAAATATCAGGCTCAGGGTTTACAACAGTAAGTATTATGTTATATTCTGACGATGGTCGCATTCGACGTTGACGATCAGACACAACTTGTTCATCTTCAGAATGTTTACCAGGATTTAACATGGATTCCATTGAATCAGTTAATGCATCAATTTGTAATATTTTTTTTAATGAATTAACTAATTCATCTACACCTGAAAAATGATTATAATAAATAATAAAAATTGTTAAATCTCATTTTTACTTTTTAAAGAAAATTACTTGTATTAGGTGGAAAATAAATATTGCGTCCGATACCAACTATAATACTGTCAACAAGATTAGTTTCAATTAAATGCAAAGAGCCTACAGATGATAATATTGTTTCTAATTGTTTAAAATCATCAATTTTGGATACAAGAGATGATTTCTGAGCTTTAATTGCAAATATACCTAAAAAATTATTGTTAAAAGATTAAAATTATAACAATAAAATAAATATATTTTTAATATAAAAATTTACTTGAATTGAATGATGATTCAATTGTACTGATAATATTATTTGTACGTAAAGGATTATTTGTAAACACAAATATGTCTGTTGAGATTATGATTTCACTGTTACTTAATTCTGAGATCATTATATTAGGAAGAGAGTGGCGTTGAACTTCAGTCATTCTCCACCATAATGGTATACCAATTATTAGTAATATAAATGCATAAACTGCAGCTGATAAATTTCTTAAATCTTCTGTAAATAAAATTTATGATATAAAATTATAATATTAGTTTGATAAACTATTTGAAAATGAAATACAAATTTACAAATTTTCTAATCAAACCCCAGGTTTTGTGTCAACACCAAAAAATTTTAATTAAAGGGAACATTCATATAAATATATAATTTGTTTATATTGTCAACTTTTATAATTTGTTTATATTAATAACTTTTATAATTGTAATTTTAATCTGAAATTACAAAATTAATTAGATAGTATTTAAGGCACTATTCTTATTTATTACTCATAAGAGTCCTATCTATAGGTTAACTACATTTCTATTACCTTTTCTTATAAAATTTTAGGATAACCTGGTGGATTCCTCTGTTATGTACCTTGAATTTCTACAAACCCACATTAGTTATTTTTTTATAACTCCTCTGGTACATCAATTCATTAATTACAGAGTACCTTGTCTCCTCTTTACTTTCATACACAAGAAGGTTAAAGCAAAATTAAAATAAGTCAATTTTAACCATTTTTTAGGAGAATCATATAAAATATTTTATAATAAGAAATAATATAAACATAAATTTTGAAAGGCAAAGATATGACTTAATATCATAATTTTATTGCTATTATTGGTACTAAAGTGTTAAATTTGAAATATTTATTCTCTGATCAAATTCATGTTATCTAAAAATTCAATAAAAATTGTACCACTTTTTCTCCTTTATATATGTTCTTAATTAATTTCTCTATTTGTCTCTTAGCTTCTTAAAATATGAGAACAAATTTCAATATTTTCCACAAATTAAACAAAACACAAATATATCATAAATATTATTAGCGATAAAAAATTTAAACTAATGTAGAAATATTACTACCATTATCTTCTTTATCTATGACTTCCCAAATTTCGTCTGAATCGCTATTTGAAGAGAATTGTACCATCTCGGAAATAATTTTATCTACAGTACTATTTAAATTTTTTATTGAAAATAAATATTATACAACAACTATTCTTAAGTCAATAACTTTCACTAATTAAGACATATTTACAATGTAATTATTAAAAACAGTACAAATTATACGATTAACAGCAGGACTAGTCTTTTAAACAGATAAACAAGAATTGATAAAACTATTAGTATCATAGTAAATGGTAACACATGTGATTTAATGAATTACGATAACGAATAAACGACTCTAATATTAAATTATATAAAACACTTTTAAGAAGAGTGTTTAATTCTGTATTGTTTAAAAAACTTACTAAATTTGTTTTTTTTTTAAACAAAGATTTTAAATAACTTTTTAAAATGAATAAGAGAAAATTTGAGGAAGAGATCTATCATCAAAATAAGTTTGAGAAATTAAACAATATTGCTGATTCTGAAGATGATGACGACAGTGTTGATGAAAAGAATTATGATGTTATGCAAGAGCAAGATATTGAAGGTAAATTAAGTAAAACTACATGTAAAGGTCTGCCCAATAAAATTGATTCAAAGTTAGATAAGAGTGGTAGTTTTCCTATTTAAATAATTAAGCTATAATTAAAATACTAGGACAAGAAATGTCCTTAATAAATCAAAATGTCTCAGATCACTATATAAATTTTATTATATATTTGATATTCCCCATTTTGAAATATTACATATTTACATGATTAATATTTCATATTTATTAGGAAAATATCTTTTATAAAAATATATTTAGTTAATATGCTAAGAAAATTTTAGTGTTTAAAAAATAAAAGTGCAGATTAAATGAATGCAAAAATTTCAAGTGAATTTATCTATTATACTCGACCCAAATATGCCACGTCACCACTGTGCTGCGACCCCCTGTGCTGGGTTTTATTTTACTGTAATAAAATATTCTAACATTTTATATTGTAATTTGTATAGGACAAGAAGATGGTGTAGTGGGCCAAGATGGTGAAATAAGAATAACACCATTTAATATGCAAGAAGAACTTGAAGAAGGGCATTTTGATACAGAAGGAATGTATCACTGGAAAAAAGAAAAAGAAATACAAGATAATTGGCTAGAAAATATTGATTGGTGTAAAGTTAGTTTTTTTAATTGCATTTTAAAAGTTATAGTTTTATATAAATTGTAAGTTATAGATTAAAGATATGTCTAAAGAACCAAATAAATCAGATGACATTGTAGATGAAAGTGAACAATTTAATGTTATTGCTGCTTATAAAGAAATAATTAATTTGATGGAGCCTAAAGAAACCGTGTCTAAAGCATTAAGACGTCTAGGAGGAACAAAAAGACTTACAACTGCAGAACGGTGGAAAATGAAAAAAGCTGGATTAAGTACTGATGATGAATCATCATCAAAAGTCACGAGGCTTACTGAATTAGCCAATCAAATTTTAACAGCTAATGGAAATATGGATGTATATCAAGAAACACATGAACAGATTACTCAAATTGTAAGTTATTGTTATTAATTATACATATTCCTATTTTTATTTCAAAAAATTAATAATAATAAAATCAATGACTATAAAAAATAAAAATTTTTATTAAGATTGTGAAAATATATAATTTTTTTATGATTGCTTTTATCATGTTACCAAGTTTATGATGAAAAAAATTATTTATAAAATGAATTAGAAACATTGAAAAGGAGTATGAATTCTAAACTTGTTAGAAAATTTTCATAAAACAGTTTAAAATATTTTCATGTTTGCTTACAGATTGCCAAATCAGAAAATAAAGGTGGTCCATCATCATCAATGACCTCAGATTTGGATATGTATGCTGATGATTTTGATGAAAAAGAAAAAGAAAAGCTTGTTAATACAAGTACAACTAGCAAAGAAGAACCAGAGAAATCATCTGGTAAATTAACTAATAAAAATATTATCATAATATTTAGTCTTAAGTACTCAAAAATTTACTTATTAACAAGTTGATGAATCTTTGAAAATAATTTAATAATTATAATTAAATGATCAAATTGAACATATATAAAATCTTTTAAATTTCCTTGGAACACTATTTTAGGTGTATTTAGTATGTAAATTTGCTGATAGAGTTTTTCTTTGGTTGGTAGTTTTATCTCTTTGAATTTGTTGAATTCTTCTATTAAAATAATCTGTAAATTTCTCCATTTCTGTTTCTTTATCCTTTAATTATTCTTAAAGGTAATAAGATAAAAAATATGAGGTTAAAAATCTAACAACACAAAGATTACAACATGTACCTAGTTAAAAGTATAAGGAACCTTGTAACTGTAAACTATTATATATTGTCGCTATCAAAATACATTATTGCTGCCACCGGTATTGTAAAACCAAATCAATTTTTTCTTGGCATCTAAGTCTTTAAATAATGTGTAAAACAAAATCTGTTTGTGGGATAAAAAAAAATTGTAAGACCCAAAAGTATTGATCCTATTAATGTTTATCATAATGTAATTTAGATGACAAACTGCAATGGGAGTATAAGTTTTCGTTAGAGAGCAATGAAGTGTTTGGTCCTTATGATACTGAACAAATGCTTAAGTGGAAAGATGAAGATAGATTCAAAGAACCCATATGGGTACGAAAATGTAATTCAAATTCAGAGTTTCATTCTTCAAAACGGGTAGATTTTGATTTATACCTATAAAATTTATTACTAATTTTATATATGTTTTTACCATTATTTGGATTACATATTATTTCATTGTACTTAATATATGTATTTAAGTATTTCATCTTCTATCTAATAGTTGTAACATTCAAAATCATTTGCAAAATATACAGATTATGCATTAAAATTAATAATTATTCATTTTAATGATTATAATCATTGATTTAGATTTATAATTGTAATTAAAATACATCATTAATTTTAAATTTAAATTTCAAACATTAAATTATAAGTATTATGAAAATTATTTTGATGACTTTTATTGTTTTTACAGCTGCTAAAAAATTTGTGTTTAAAAATAATAACAATTTAATTATTTTTGAATTTATAGAATATACTGATAATATATAATTCTATAAAAAAAATTCTAGCTTATTTTATTATTACCCAAATGTTATTACTCTGCTTTTATATAAATATTACCTATTCAAATCTTCAAAATGTACTATAGTTTTAAATTTTAATGAATAAAAATTTAAAAAATATTCTGTAAAACTGTGTATTATGTGAACGGACAGGATGACAAACGGAATGCCACTTACTCCAGCATCTATATTGTTGGGTGAAGGAATGAATGGATTCTATATTAAAGACTTCTGTTTGTTCACTACACTAATTGTTTGAGCGCTAACACAGTATAAAAATTAATTTCTAATGCCATTGAAGTTACTCTTTGATGAGAGTCATTAACATATACAGAGTGAATTTGAATAGAACTTATTTTCTTGGAAACTATTGAAAATTTTAAATTTTAATAAAGAAAATTATTGTCTAATATAAAATATTTTAATTATAAATTGTTTAAAGATCTGTATTTAAAATACAAATTCATTAAACCTGAGGCACAATTATTTGTTTTAACGGACTATTAATTATTATCAGTGTTTATTCTTATTGTCGTAAGAACAGTTGTGATAACAACAATTATTAATAAAAACTTGTTTATGTGATATCAAGAAGAAATGATATCTTCTGTATGCTAAACCACTGATCTTATGAACATGAATAGGATATCAATGCACTATCAATAAAGACTATGATGACAGTAAATTGAGGCTATTTGTTTGCATTATTACATGATAAGATTTTACTTTTTTTTTTAATGGTTAGTCATAAATAATTAGTATGAGATATCTAGTTTATAATAATGTAAAAGTTTTAAGTTATAGTTTATAACTTATTACAAAATTAAAATACAGTATCTTATATCCTTAACACAATTAAAATGTAAACAAACAGGCTCACATGATATAATCTTATATTTCTTCTTCAACAAAATATTCTTAGCTCTAATAAAATTGTTTAAAAATAGTATATACAATTAAATTAATAACAATAAAACAATACTTTTATTTATTCAAGTTATTTAACTGATTGACAAGTAAACTAAATAACTCATTTATTTTTTAACATAAAAAGAAGCTATTGTACAATAAAAAATAATAGATTATAAAATATTGAGCATTTTTCAATTAGTGCGAAAATAACACACTGTATAAGATTTATAAACTATGATTATTTACAAATAAATTTTAACACTACAAAAGCAGTGGATATTTGATATAAAAAAATTATGATAAATAAAAGTTATTTACAAATTCCATTATAAATTTTCATTGATATTTAAAAATAAATAATGACGGCTAAAGAGGAAAAAAATCAATCATCCTTTAATCCCTTAATTTTTCAACTTGTGAGATAAAAAACAATGTTAGTTGTTATGGCAGGAGTTTTATTACTTTTATTATTAATTAAATAATATCAATAAAATAAATATATTTTTTTGACCTGATCAGCAGAAACAAAAATCCCTTTAAATTTATCAAAGTCTCCTAAACATTTTCTCGTCCGGTCATTTTAAATCTCGGGTCACACCAGATTCTTAATATCATTTTTAAAATTATCAGTGTATTATGAATTAGAATTTTAATTTTTACCTGACAATTTTTTTATAATTTATCAAACAAATTGCTAACATAGTTAAGTAATTTTTTGCTGTGTGGTACATGATTTTATAGTTACGTATTTTATTATATCCTGAAGGTAAGTTTTTTTTAAATATGAGAATGCAAACTCTATTCAATGTGAAAAAATTTTAATGTTATGTAAAATTTATTTATTGTACCCCAAAATTTATTAATAATAATTAAATTTTTATATTGATCAGCACATCTTCTAAAAGTTAATTAATAAATGAAAAGTATTATAATCTAGAAAAAGAATTTTTTGATAAAAGGTAATGGAGTAATATTTATAAATATATAAAGTATAGAGTTATGAATGTTTTAAAGCTTTCGTGGATTGTCCTATTGCTTAAAATGTTCACGGATGTTTCGGATTCTGCAACGAGTTCGAAACATCAGTTTATAACTGAAAAAGTGTATACATCCATAAACATTTCAAGCAAGTAAAAAGTTAATTTATATTATTTTTTAATTAAAAAATTTAATATTTTATATAAATTGAATAAAATGTTTTTAATTTTTTAGTTAAATTGTAATCAATTATTTAAAATATACATATTTTTTTAATAAAAAAGAATTACATATTCGGGATCAATACTTTGTAGGTAGGTTTATATTTTTCCCTAAAGAGTTGGGTATTTGGAGAAGTTAAATTTTTCAAATTGTTGATTCATTATTAAACTACTTTTTTTCATTCACAATGAATACACTTAGTTAATACATAAAAAAAGAAGTTAAAAATTGAGAAGTCCATTTATACTGCCCATAAAATAAACAAATTACTGATGTGTGTATTTAATAATTGAATTGTTCATTAATTTAATTAACAAGCATAACACTGTACTAATCCAACTTCATCGCAATTCATACACTTCAAAGCAATCATTTCTGTGGTAAAGTGATTTCTATGCACAGATTTCTTGCTCCCGTTACACATGGGACATGGAAGGAGTCTGTATCCACCACATATTTGACATGTGGTCCAAGCATCAGGGCTCTAAAAAAATTTTTTTTTAATAAATAAATCATAATATTAATATTATTTAATAGTTATTTTAAACATTAAACAATGAAATTATTGTTTATATCATTAGTATGCAATTAGGGATATAATTCTAGATTGCTGCTTCAATTAGGTTAGTTACAACCAGTATGAATCGCCAAATAAATGATAATAGAAAAAAAAACTATTATATATGAAATATGAAATACCATACATCATTATGTAAAGTTTTCAATTTTTATTTCCGGAATGGTATATAAGAGTGTTATAAATCCTAAAATATTAAGAGATAATTAAATTTTGCATTTTATTTTTTTGATATGCTAAACAGTAGCGCCCAACATTATGCTGAGGTAGGTCACTTGCCCGACTTAAACTAAAAAACTACACACGTATGGGTGTGTAGTTTATAATCTTCATAACAAAATTGTTCATGATCCGAATCTCTGTGAAGCCTATCACTTGTATTTATGCACATGTATTAACTGGCAATATTTAAAACTTTCAATACAATTATCATTTAGTTGAACATTATTTTAAAAATAATTATTGACGTCAGTGACTACGTTTAAAGCATATTTTCAGCATCGATGCAAATCTGAAATGGTTTTTTTTCATGTCTGTCAATGAAAATTCATAGCTTATACTGAACCGATTTTTATATAGATGAACATATGGTCTCCAAAAATTAGAAAAACCAATCAATTATAGAAATTTAGAAAAATTTTATAAAATTAAAATACTATAAAAAATGGAATTTTGTAATTTTTATTCTGCATTTAAAACTACTATAGCTCATTTTAATAATACTGATCTTAATGAAATTTTAATTCAATATAAAAGAGACGATGATCTTTTTTTTGTTTTACTTTTTGTGACCATTCAATAAAAAGCTTATGTACAGAAAAGATTGGTAAAAGACCACCCCGTATGTAGAAGTTTTTTTTTTCAAATCGATTTTTAAAAAGGTTCCGGAAGGTCCGTCAACTTTTATCTATATCAAATTAAAACTTTTGAAGTGTAGTAGAATAATAATAATAAAAAAAAATTGTCCCGATGATTATTCTTCTATGAGAAAGCAGCCTTTAACAATAAAAAGTTACGTTATTTTAACTAAATTAATAATTTAATAGGCAAAAAAAAAAATATATCTCATAAAACCACAAAAAATACTACAAAATCGTAATTATGTATTTTGAGATCNTACTGATCTTAATGAAATTTTAATTCAATATAAAAGAGACGATGATCTTTTTTTTGTTTTACTTTTTGTGACCATTCAATAAAAAGCTTATGTACAGAAAAGATTGGTAAAAGACCACCCCGTATGTAGAAGTTTTTTTTTTCAAATCGATTTTTAAAAAGGTTCCGGAAGGTCCGTCAACTTTTATCTACATCAAATTAAAACTTTTGAAGTGTAGTAGAATAATAATAAAAAAAAAAAAATTGTCCCGATGATTATTCTTCTATGAGAAAGCATCCTTTAACGATAAAAAATTACGTTATTTTAACTAAATTAATAATTTAATAGGCAAAAAAAAAATATATCTCATAAAACCACAAAAAATACTACAAAATCGTAATTATGTATTTTGAGATCAATGTTACCCCCATCAGCGCAAAACACATACTAATACACAAACTAAAATAAACAAAATTACATTGAAGCGTATTTTATGACAGTAATGTTAATTACTGTCAGATAACTAAACTTGTTCCATTTATTCCGCGGCATCAACTATGATGCTATCCCACTTTGGTAGGATTTTGTATAACAATAAATTTAGTTTTAGTAACAGATGAAGTATTTTACCAAAGCCAATCACTTTTTTAGTTACTCAACAATTATTTTCCATTTATAAGTTGACGTATGTTATAACCATTAACCGAATAAAGACAAGAATGAAAATTAATACATTGTTTAAAAGGTGTGTGTGGCATAACATTGTTTTAAAATATCAAATAGCAACAGTTTCCATTATTATTATATTTTTGACATTTTTTATTAGAAAACGGATCTGTAGCGTGTATAAATGTAACAAGGAGGTTAGAGGAGTTTAAAAATAAAATGTAACTTAAGGTAAATAAAAAAATGTTTATTTTTATTCTGTAAGTAATTGAGTGGGTTAATAATAATAAAATCATTATGTTATTTATTATTTAAAACATTTGTGGGATAGAAACAATTAATTTAGTACCCCAAAATTTGTATTCCAGTTGCACTAATAGTAATGTACATTTTTGATGTCTGAAGCAAATTAGAATTTGTAAGGTTAATTATTCTCTCATACAAATTTTGTAAAATAATATTTGTTGAGTAAATGACATTTCTCACTTATAACTTAAAATAAAAATATAATCGTATGTTATTCGAAGTAAAGTATGGTTATTTAAATAGACAAATTAAGTTTTAAAATATTAAAATTCAGCTTCTAAAGATTTTTAGAATAGAATTTCTTTCCCAAACACATTTAAATATGTTCATCATATAAATAATGATAATTTCAGAAAGAGTTGATAGAAATATACCGGTATGTCTGAACAACCTAAAATTATTTACAGTGTATNGATAGAAATATACCGGTATGTCTGAACAACCTAAAATTATTTACAGTGTATGAGTATCTTATACTCATATACAATCATTTTTTTAGATAATTGTTTTTCCAATAGCATAATGAATTAGAAAGTTCGATGAATTCTTCTTTGTTATAAATTATAAAAAGAAAATATCTTCATGGACATAATCTTCTCGTGTATACATGTGTACCACATGAATATTAGTTGTCGATCATATATTATTGTACATGAAAACAATACGTATAATAACAACATATTATTCAGTTGTGTATTTAAAGGGGTCACAGGGGTACGTTCTTCTCCTTTTGATCATGCCATGCTGATATGAACATTTCTGTTGGCCTTTTTTTGCTCATAATTAACCCAAAATGAGTAAAAAAAAACTATCATGGTAGCTTGTTAATTGAAAAGTTTTATTTTTGCCTCTTCCCATTATGAATTTCTNATAGAAATATACCGGTATGTCTGAACAACCTAAAATTATTTACAGTGTATGAGTATCTTATACTCATATACAATCATTTTTTTAGATAATTGTTTTTCCAATAGCATAATGAATTAGAAAGTTCGATGAATTCTTCTTTGTTATAAATTATAAAAAGAAAATATCTTCATGGACATAATCTTCTCGTGTATACATGTGTACCACATGAATATTAGTTGTCGATCATATATTATTGTACATGAAAACAATACGTATAATAACAACATATTATTCAGTTGTGTATTTAAAGGGGTCACAGGGGTACGTTCTTCTCCTTTTGATCATGCCATGCTGATATGAACATTTCTGTTGGCCTTTTTTTGCTCATAATTAACCCAAAATGAGTAAAAAAAAACTATCATGGTAGCTTGTTAATTGAAAAGTTTTATTTTTGCCTCTTCCCATTATGAATTTCTAAATACATCCCTGATACAATTTATTAAAATAATAAGAGATAATAACGTAAAATATTGTTTTAGAAATACATAAAGAGTCGCTTATTGTACTAGCTACCAATTTTAGGTGTTAGGGAGATTATACTGTGACGTATAATCATTTCATATAAAATATACCGAACGAATATCTACATAAAACTTTATAATAATTCATAATTTCAAATTATAAATTATAATAATTAAATAATCGTACTTTTAAAATATTTTAATATTTTTTAACTATTACGTTACACAAAGATTTATTAACATATATAACTCCCAGTTAACACTACATTTATAGCGTTAGCTACCATTTTTCTTGTAATAAATCAAACGAATTTTAGTTTTCTCCAATTGTACGATATTAGTTACCAATTATACACGTATATCACTAAAAATAATATGCACGTATAAATATATATAATTTAATCTAGTTTTATAAATTATTTATAACGTTGCAACTAAATAGACTTTATATTATTTTAGTTGGATAATGTTGCGACTTGAATAAAAGTGAAAATATAATTTGTGTAACTAAGTTCAATATTATTTACGAAGATTATTAAAAAATATCAACTTTAATGATAATTACTATTTTATCCTTAGCTTGAGGTGACTGGTACATTTCATACCGTATGAAATAAAAATAGTTTATAAGAAAAGAGAAAACAAAATAGTGTAGAAGGAGTGATTTATTAAATTTAAAAATGGATTTATTAAAAAACCATTTTGTTCTCAATAGGAAAGTTAGAATTACTACTGCATGAGGCATTAACCAACAGAACATTTTTTGTCTATGCCGGAAAAAGCGTAACGATTAAAAAAATTATCTAACAAAAAAAAGCATAATTTTTTTGATTTTACCTTAAATGGTTTCAATATTGATCGAAGTTCTCCAGATTCATTCAGTCTTTCTACTGCTTCTGCATCCTAAAAATACACAACAAATGAAAAATTGGAATATAAATAATAATGAATACATTATTTTAAAAAATAACAAATTTGTATGATAAAATTTAAAAAAGTATATATAAACACACGTATTATATTGTATAAATTGTTATTGTAATTAGTGGCAAAGTAGCCGACGTCAAAAAGTTCGGTAAAAAAAATTTAATACATTATCATCTCAATTAAAATAGATATTTTTTTGGATCATGTTTACATAAGTTTATTAAATATATATATATATATATATGGGTTAACTTCGTAAAATAAAATCATTCAACATAAAAATAGAGGAATTTTAATTTTGAAACGCCTTTTCAAAACAACGAGTATTCACCATTTTTTTCATACATATGCAACGCTTATGTATAACATACATATGATATATGTTACATAGATGTACATTATTAGTTAATAATGTATACTGTAATAATGCTTAAATGACCATTAATATATTATTTTTTACTAAGAAAATAAAATAATTAAAATTTATTCGCTTTCGATAAGTAGTTAAAAATTAAATTAAAGTAATAGAATTTTTTAGATCACATTGAATATGTATAAAATACTGGATATAATATCTATTAATGTTATGTTTACGATAAAGCAAAAAATAAAATAAATAAAATGCATAAAACAATAACAACTAACTATTTGAATAGATATTAATAAGTTTAATTGTGCACATCAAATAATACATTTATTTATATGTGTATATACTAATGACGTATCTTAGAGATTAAAATAAATAAGTTTTTTCTATTAGCTAAACTAAATCTAAATTTTAAGTATAAAAATCCTTAATAAATTATATCGACATTAGTCCCCATAAAAAAAAAAAAATCGTGGGTATACTACTGGATGTATATAATTATATATGTATTTGTAAAATAATTGAATACTTACTCCTATAAGATTTCCCTCAACAAACAGTTGAGGAACAGATATTGAGTTGGTACCCAATCGTTCTTTGATTTCTTTTTGCACTTCTCTGCTCATAAAAACGTCTCTTTCTACAAACTTAACCAGATGTGTTCGTAAAATCTGTTTGACCAAAAGACACCGTTGATAAGTATCCCTAACTATACCCATAGTGGTTGTATATAGCACAATTTTACCAGCTTCTTTTTCTTGCCATGTCTACAATTAATCGAAAAATAATTTTAAAAAATTGCATAATGTGCTAATGCATAATAGAATTTTTGAAAATTTTAGTTGAAAATATGTTTATTAGGCCGGTATTGTGTGTGACATTTCAATAACATTCTGTGTTAATATGACCAAAGTAATTTATTTTTGGTGAAAGTATATCTTTGATAAATTTTTGTATTACATTATTTTAATGATTATCAATATATTTTTAACAGAGCTAATCGCGAGCACACGAACACTGCGTTGTTGTCTCACAGTTTACGGTATTCAGGCCAAGGAATGCGCGTACATAGGTGAAGGTTCCGGTATGTGCATGATCTTTAACTATAGAATGTAAACAGCTTATGTATAATTAACGGGTGTATTAAGTGTTAGGGGTGTATGCTTAAAAATCAAAATAAGCTTAAGTCAATACGTAGAACTGTTTACTGAAAAGAAACCAAAATATGTTTATTTAATGATTTTTTATGGGATAATAATTGACAAATCATAGTAAACAATTAAATAGTAAATTTTCTTCAAAAGTTTTTTCTTCCACGATTTTAATGCATAATCATAATTATTAGTATATTTTCATTGTGTATACATTTTCTAACTAAAATAAAAATATATATTAAATTAAAAAAAATAAATATTGAATTACAATTTTTTAATATAAAATAAAAGTTAACTGTAAATAAACATACTGAAACATAATTATTTTATATTTATATAATGTTTATATTTATAAACTTATTACGGATTACTACGGCAACGAGAATCGTTTAAAAAGAAATTGAATATTATGACAAAGTGTATAATAATTGTTATAGTGTACTAGTGAAATTAAGTAAAAACAGGAATAACTAATTGATGTGGGAAGTTTTGTTCTCATTTCAAAAGATAGCAGAGAAAATTGTGTAGAATATTACGATTCGCACTTGATTACATATCTGCTTGTATAACTTTCATAGATAATACCATATCATTAACAAAATAAACATGCAGAATAATGTTAGCGTTTTCAAATGTTTTAAGTAAAATATCATAAAAAAATTTATTATTTGTACTTTTAAATAATTTATTAATACTTAAGTAGATTGAAAAAAAAAATGTAAATGCTAATGTACTAATGTATGCATTACATTAGGAAGGTAAAGATCCCTTATATTTATTTAGATCATTATATTAGGAAATATGAATACTATTTGTTTCACAAACTTAAATATTTTTCATTTTTTTTCATTAGTGAAAAAATCATGTAATATAGATTTTATAATTCTGTCCTTCAATTATTTAATTCTAAAATATGCTAATATCAAATTTAATTAAATATTGTAGCGTTATTTTTAAAAGAATAATTAAAAATAGTTAAATAATAATAATAACTTTAATAAATAAAAAAAAAAAACTGATATATAAACAAGTTATTGTATAACAGAATAATTTTTTCTATAATTGAGGCTATCGATTACAGATTTATTAAATTATTTTTTTGGTAAATGATCTCCATAAAATATTTTATTATTTGATTTTTTTCAATAAAAATTTTTAAAAATCCGTTTTATTGACAAATTAAAAAAAAAATTACTGTAGAAAAATTGATCATATTTAAGAATGTTGTCAACAAATTATCAAACTAATTATTGTAGTGTGTATAACTGCTTGTAAAAATTATGGAATAAAAATTAATGACAGAATCATTATGATTATAAATAAGCCTAAACAACTCTATTAATTGTATAGCGCAATTTTAACTGTTTCTCGCTTTAGTTTTCCAGGAGATTTATTATATTTATTTTCATAATATCTGACTTGATCCAGTGCATCCAAAAAAATTAACATATTCTTGTTAGTACCAGTCGTTTATCCGGTAGTGTTGAAAACACTCACACACTCGCAGATATCTTAACGTATGATTCGATGACCGACTGGTACGACCTCCACAAGTATTCTTGTAGCGCTGGACATAAAAAATTTAAATAAGAAATAGGCGGCTGATGTACGGGAGATGCAAGGACGTAAATGAATTGACCTGTTTTGCAATTAATGTATTTATCATATACATGGTAGTATACGTTGTGTGTAAAATATAGAATACGAGTAAATATATTTTCATGCATATATAATACCAAACTCAGATGGCAAGTGATTTTAGCCCCGAGGTCTCATCTACGAACACAAATTACAAATAGAAAGAAACGGCTGCCGCTCCTCTTTTAAATTCTGTCCTTTATTCTCATCAGATACATACTTACATATGGTATCATTGACCCGATGATGCGATCGCACAAATCTTTGCATACTCTCAGTCGCACAAACACTCACACAAAAACGGGTCTTTGTATTTCGTAATAGCAATTGAAAAAAATAGTCACCTCAAGTTTGGTTTTGCATTCTTGATCTCCAACTGAGGTTTTGCACTCAATAAAGATATCAAATGCTGTCATGAATTCATATTAGAATCATTACATTTTATTGTTTTTTCTTTAGAAGTATTATTGACTGTACTAATAAACTGATTTATAAACGTATTTACAACGCTTTAGGCAAATATATATATTTGCCTTAGGAATTAGGGCCACCCAAATTAATTTTATTTACTCGAACATTTAATGTTTTAATACCATTATATTAATTAATATCGTATTTTTTTGATTAATTCTTTTGTACAGGAAAAGTGTTATATGAAATTTTATTTTTTTTTTGCATAATTATGTTTCATACTACAACTTGTTTTATTATTATCGCAATAATACGTTGGTAACATGTTAAAAGTTTCCCTTGTTTGAAGAATTTTCCTCTAATAACATCATAATATCAGTATCTCTTTACAAAGACGTATTTAGACAGGTACTACGATCACTTCAAGTGTCGTTTTTTAAGTATAACAGTGCTTTATATAAACGCCATTCATTAACCTCTGTTAATGAATAATGTAAATTGATTTAAATATTTTTAATTTAAAAATTGTGGATAAATTATTTGTAAACCATGTGTTTACTTAAAAATATTCAATTAATTATTCTATTTTTTTTTTTTTTAATTTTATATGATATGTATTATATATGATTTTTTTGGTTTTCAGAAAAATAAAAATTTCATTATAAAATCATATAGCAATAAACTACGTATTTCGCCAGAATTGTTACAAAAAAATTTTTTCATATCGATTTGTTTATAAATACTCAACATAAGTTTTAAAAACTTAAAAGCATAACTTAGAACGATACATTTCTTGAGAAGTATTGAAGTCTTAATTTAACTAACAAAATGGAAAATAATCTGAATATTGTATTAATTTTTTTTTCAACAAATGTAAATAAGTTTTATTGTTTTACTATTTGTAACACAAAAATTTCTCACGTTCTCAATCTATAATTTCTCTTGACAAACATAATAATATAAAAGTTGCAGATGTATAGTATTTTAATTTTTCGGAATGAATTCACTATTAATTTTTGTTTTAGAGAATTGTTGATATTTTTGAAACAGTATTTTTAATAACACTACAATTTTACTTAGTAATTGTTAAATAATGTAAACTAAATAAACGATAGTACAATGAAAGTTTTGCGTAAATACTAACAAGAATTATACCATCATATATGATTTTTTTATGTGGAATTGTTGTCCGTATTATTAGTAGCAATTAAATCAATTTAAATATTATAAAGAAGAAATAATAATTATTTTAAATTTCGTTATGGAAATATAACTAAAAAGAAATGTAGTTTAATTAAAACAAGTTATTTACCATAAGGTATGTAAAATATAGAAAATATATTTTATTTAAAAATGACGTATGAATCTACGTGAATTGAAAATTTGAAAGTAAAAATTTATGAGCTTTGATAATAATTACCATAAAGCAAAGATTCAACCGATAATATAATAAAATAAATATGTAAACTATAAATTATTCATATGGGTGATCAAACTGAAAATATTTATAAGAATAAATTGTGATAGCTATAAACTTTATTAATTTGTAAAATAGAGTGATATTTTTTCAGTAAATTATTTATACATATTTTGCTATCCTGGGGTAGTTTTAAAAAGTTAGTATTAATTATGATCAAATTAAATTGTGTATTAAGTTGTATTGAAATTTCAATACAAAATTTTACTTTATAAATAATGAACAATCAACCGAGACTTAAATAGATTGCAACTGTAAAATTGTATAATTAATTTTATTAGGGTATAGTAAACGCATAAAATCAATAATCTTTTTTGTTTGTTTTGTAACAATAAATGGAATTTTTTTTTCTTAGATTCTTGTCATAGTCACGCCATCGATAAAGTTACGTAAAACTTTGTTAACGTATAATTATTTTTAATATGAATATATTTTTGATTTTGCATGTGTAATAATCACAATGATGATAATTTAAGATTGTATTATTTCGGGTAAGTATTTTTTTCTTTTTCAAGAAAAAATTTAAATAAATTAATTTATCATAATATTATTACCATTCATATTATTAAAAAAGAAGTCTTTTTTTTTTTTAATTGATATTGAGAATATTATCATAATAATAAAAAAATTTATTTTTCATGAAAGATTTTTAAGTGTTAGTACAATAATAGTTTATTATTTTTATTGACTATAGTTATTATAATAATGTCATCCTAATATTCACGATAATGTAAAAAATGTTCAGAATATTAATTGACATAAAAAAAAACACGCAACCGTATAGAGTGAACCTACTTCGCATAAAAATAAATAGAAAATAATGGTTTTTGATTGCACACAATTAGATATACTTATTATATAGTATAGAAATAGAAATATCATATATAATTATACTTTAATAAAATCTGGAACAACTTTTTGTCTGTAGAATCGACATGATGGGTCATCGGCTTAAATAAGTGAAAGTTTGACTATTTTAGTTGGCTGTTTCCTTCTTAACGAAAAACGGAAATGTATTATATTCTAATTTTTTAGTAAACAACTAATCGAAATTTAAGAACTAAATAAAAATAATAGGTAAATAATAAAAGTATTCAAAATTATTTAAGCAACTATAGATAGATGATTAAGGAAAATGTTATTTTGAAAATAATTTATACACCGGATGGTTATTTGCATTTATGTTGAAAGGAACTAGAAAAAACTGTAATCACACGCATTTAGTAAAACTATCATAAACTGTACATTTTGATTTTTATAAACAATTTTAAATGAAGTTTTATTTTGACTTTCGTCATAAAACAAAGAACACATGTCCATTAAAGAGTGCCATTATAAGCAAAGACAAAATAATCATATACGACGAACATCACTTTAGTAATGTATTCCTAGTCCTCTTTACAGCCTAATTTTTAAATCGATATTTCGTGCTTTTATACTCTTGTACCACAGAATACTAATTTTATATTATGACGTTCAAACGTGCATTTTCCTTGTGTTACTTTTCTAAATAAAATAAACTATATGATTTAAAATATTAACATGGAAACAAAATGTATTTTATATATATGTATTTTGATTAGCGACGTCAATGTGTCTAATGCAATTGTAATTTTATTAAAAAAACAAACTGTTATTGCGGTCATTTTTTTTTTTTTTAAATGATTCATCATCTATAACATATTTTTATTTTACTCATCTAACGTCATCACACATTATAAACTCAAAACAAATAATTGTTTTTGTGTATTGTAAGTATATGTTATTTTTTAAAGAAAAGTCACCGAGTTGTTAATCTAATCACCAAATTCTACTATGACATTTTTGATACTAAAAATTACAATATTTTAAAGCAATTTTAAAATAAACAATTATGGTAAAACATTTTTTTTTATCAATAAACTGATTTTAGTTTATTATCAAACTTTATTTTAAATTTGTTTATTTTTGAATTGTATAACATTTTTTAATTTTTCAAAATAAGTTTTTTTTTTTGAGATATTTCTTGTTTATTAGCTAAAAGTTACTAATTGTAGTGTATATTTTAGGGCCATAAAAAAACGTTTAAAATATATCTAGATATACTTGACACAGTACCGTATATTTTGCGATACGTTTAATACACGGACACCTTGTCTCTCTCATAAGCTGTTTTTATAACGTGAGATCAGCCTGATTAGAATATTCCTGCTTTTTAACCAGGATGCAAAGTTTATCTACTGAACTACGGTCGACCACCGAGCGGCAAACGCTATCTCATAATTAAGTGTTTTTGCTTTTTTTAATTATAACTTTTAACCGGCCAGTTTTTAAAACGTGTTTGAATTTTATTTTTATGTTTGTGTCGTATTTTACAACTCATTCATAGACATCAGAGTTTACCGTGACATGCTTTTACTATATAAAATACATTTTATGTAGTAAATATTTTTATTTGTTAAAATTATGTTAATGAAATTCCAACAACTTCCATGTTTTATCACTAGAAAAACATTTGATTGCACATTTTGTTTTCAAGTATTTTTAAATTGATTTCTCAAAAACAATCTTATTTAATACATTTATATGTAATCGAACAGTACCACGAAATTTTTTGCTCTAAGCAAAACGTGAGCTGTTTTCTTCGTCAGATATTTAATTAAAAATTACATTATTTTATTTCCACTAATAATTAGTTGTATAAATCGTTTGTTTTTATCAAACGTGTATTGATAAATGAAAATCTAGAGAGATTAAAAGAGAGTATATAGGAATACTCTATCTATTTGGTAGATTTAATTGTTTTTTAATTATTAAATATACATTATTTTGAACACTTTATGAAAAACAAAATGAACTGTTATGATACGAAGAGAATAGTTAATATTTAATAACATCGTATCGATTTAATCAAAATACACCCATTTTACAAAAAACGGTAGAGTGTGATAAACTACGAGATTGATTTTGGAATAATATGATGTATTATTTATCACCTGGAAAATTTTGTAGTAGTTGTGCCAATAAAAGGTAATATAGTAGATTAAATAAAATTTTTATTAACCGTTCATTATAACATTCAAATTACAGATATATTATGTTTGAGAAGTAATAAGGTTTTCTCTAGTCTTCTTACTAATCAGATTTATATTTCGGTAATTCTTTGCACCAGTCGAGAAAATGATTGGTCTTCATGTTTTAATTCTTAGAAGCCGCCAAAGCTAATCTTATAAAAGTATCGATATTTTTAAACGAGACTTTCGATGTCGTCAATCCATTGATTAAAATTTGAAGTCACTTAAGCGTGTCTAGAATGCCTTTTACCATACCCAATCGTCACCCCTACCGGTTGTTATAACGTCGTGTACATAATAAATAATACAACAGTGTTATGATATCATGTAGAATGTTATTGTTCTTGGAGCGAATTCGTCAAGCGAGTACCAATTGATAACCATTACTGATTGGCCACCGACATATTATTAATACAGCGTTAATGTTTCGCATAATCCGCCTACTTGAGCTGGCGGGTTTGTCATTTTGAATTTCGCCACAGTTTTTCATAGGCCACCTAAACACGAAGGCAATCACCAGAAAATTTCCACATAGACAAACCAAAACAGCAAATCCGTAAAAGAAAGGAAATACTCCGACGTCGTTATGAAACTACCGATATAATAACAAATTCATTAACCTGTTATTACCCCACGGTCATGTCTACTTCGTATGGAACTATATTGTATTTCTATAATCATTGACGTTATTAAAATATTACATAACTCCCAAATTTCGTTACTTATTGAGCCGAATACGTGTAAGATATACTTGCACGTATTTGGCAGTGTATCACTACTAAGTGCTCTACACGGAAACTGTCTTTCCTTTAAGATTTATCATGTCACGTGTCATCGATCTTCGTTCAAAGCAGGTAAACATGCGCATACATTAATGTAACTGAATGCACCTCCGTTGTATTTTCAACTACACATTTTTTGCGCGATCGACAATATTTTATTGCTAACTGGGAAATAGCATTAACGGATATTCATTTAATATGATTTACTATTGTCGCGAGATTGTGCATGGCTCGCAAAAAAGACTTAAAACACCGTCTGTGTGGGTGGCAGTAAGTAACGCGGAGCGACAGCAGTGCGAAGCTTTACGAGCAAACAGAGCGGACATGACGAGGTAACCGTGTCGCATACCTTTACCTACTAATCCGACTACCAAAAATAATAACAATAATAATATTCATAGTAGAACGTTTCTGCCGTGACACGGTTTAGAAAAGAAATGACCAATAAAATATAGTGTATTAAACATATTAAATGCGTGTATTTTAAAGCTTAACAAACTCTCACTGTCTATCAGTTGAACACACATAAAAAAATAACTAGTACAACGAAAACAAACGTGTTTTGGCAAATACATTTAGGAGCACTCTAAAAATGACGATTAACGTTCAAACGTGAGGTGATTTTATTAGAAAGAAAATATTAAGTACAAATATTTTCCTGTTTATGTTTCTAATTATAACAACAAATTATTTGAATCCAGTAAAAATGTAATAACAACCGTCTCAATCGTTAATGAGAATCACTTTTTAGGGAGAGATTGGTACTATGCATAACTAACCTTAAAGTACCGGTTATACTTATTAAAGAGATTAAAAAATTGAGGTGAAATCATTATGTGGAAAGTGAGATAATTTTGATATTTCATTGATTTATGTGACATTTAACTACGTAAAATGAAAATTAGTTGATCAATATGCAATATGATTAATATTTGTATTAGCTCATACATTCGTTCAATGTATAAATTCAGTTAATTTAATATCTGCGGATATGTATTCCGCAATTTATTTTAATGAAATCATAAAAAAATAAAATATCCGTGAAACTATTTAAAAAAATAGTAAATGTTTACGTTTCCACACGTAATTCACTTGTTAATTCAAGCACATAAGTGGATATATAAAATAATTTCTTTGATAAAATTATCTGAATTTATAATCGTGTACGCATGTATGGTATTATATTTTATTCAAGCCATGTCACCATATAGTAATGAAATGAAAATGATCAGAGAGTAAAAATAATTGACAATGAGTGTTATAACTGCCAGAACAAGTATGTCAGATATAACTAACTTGTTTTATAGTTTTCGTCAATATGGTTTTAAAGTTTTAGTAGATTAAATAGAAATTACAAACTTTCCAGCTTATTAGAGAATAATACGATGATCGTATTTTAAATATAGACTCCTATTGAATTTCTGGAGTTGCCGTAGAGTATTAAACGAGTGTTGTCGAATGTAAATAATCAATAGAAAGTGGAGTTGTGATGAATAATAAAATGTATTACCTATTGCATATGCGAATTAAAGGGCATATACATTTGCGATTTACTTTCAAAGTAAATAACAGGTAACAAATTGAAGTATTTCCAATGAAATTATATTCAGAGTATTGAGCTACTCATCTGCTATAGTCATGCTCGGTAGTTATTTAACTAAATTAAGATTATATAAAAAATAAAGAGCACCTAGCTTTTAACGCGTACTTAGAAGCTGTCACTGGTTAAACAAACGTGATTAAAAAAAAAATGTTCAAGATATAACGTAGTTTATTTTTTAAAGTATTGTGCTTAAGTTGTAACTTAAAAGAAAGATAGAAACAACTACTTACTTTTGATGTTTTTGGTTGTAAAAAAGTGGCGATACCAGCTCTAACGCGGTTCTTAACTCCTCTGATTGTACCCTTGGCACTTCGGATAGTGTCCGCACTACCAACGGCCGCTTCGTACACTTTACATCCTGCAAACGAATCATCCTCTGGTGATTTCGAGGCAGCAGATTTGTCGACATGTTCGAATACATTTTCATTCATGTGGAACTCATAGTATTGGTCAGTGTTGTCCAAATCGATAATGCGAACTGGCGTTTTGGCCTCTGTTCTCTGATCATAGCTACGTTGTTCTACCATTATCAGGGGTGCCGACGGAGGTGAAGGTGATGCATGTTCTTGTTCTATTGAGCTTTCTTCCTTTACATCCGGTTCAACGCCACCAGCGCTGGTTAAAGAATCACAGCTGCTGCATGTGCCGTCATCGCTTTCGTCCCGGCGACTACCCGAGTCCAAGTCACTGCCTGTACCACTGTCGAGCGGGGACGCGTGACCCGAGGACGAGCACCGATCATCGTAGAATACATACGGATCCACACAAGTTATGTTGATTTTAACTGTACTGGTACGACGGAGTTGTTGTTGATCTTCGCGGATATGCTGCTGGTTTTCAGATTCACGGACACAACCGATGACTTCTGTAGGGTCTATACGGATCTTGACGACGTGTCCACTAGAAAGAATTGTCGCACCGTTGATGTCACCGCTCTTATGGCACGCACGCCGTGATTTTGGCGGCAACGGTGGGGGTATCTTTTTCTCCACAGCTTCAATCATCTAAAACGATAAATTTTAAAATTGAGTTACGCGATATTTTTTTTATATTGAGCATATAGACATAAAAAAAACACTATAGAACACATTTCCTAAGACAGATTTTTTTTTTTTTGAAAATTTTTCAGCTTTATCAAAAACTACAAAATGACAAATTTATCAAATAAATCATTTTAGTATTAATGGTTGATTTTCTATGACGTTAAATCGGTACATTAACTATGAAATTATCACTAAATTTTTAAGCAAAAACTGTTGATTTACATGTTTTTGGATTAACTTATTACCAGAAGGCATAAATTTAGGCTATAAATTTAATGAAAAAACTGTTTAGTACTGTTATAGTAGTTAAAAAAGAGTTTGTTAAATATCAAGTAAGTCTAATAATTTTTCAGATAAGTGTTGATGTTGATGAACATGGAAATAATGAACATATTATTTTGTAAAACAGTCATTGACAACAAAAAAAACTTGAATGTATTCTCATTAAAAAAATGAATTTGTGAATAAATAATCTACGAAATAAAGTATAGATCTAAACTTGTTTTTTTTTAATTGTTCGAGTAATTGAAAAATATGAAATCTCTTTCTACGTATGAAACAAATTCACTATTTGAGCCTTTACTTAATGAAAGTATAAAACTCATTTTTTCTAGCATTATTTTTTTATCTTATTTTTTTAATTTTAATTTGTTTAATGAGAAATTTTTGATTATTGCAGGACGTGGTAGGTCGCCAACACACGATTCGTGAGTGAAAATTCATTTTATTTTTACTTTTTGCGTGGGACATTAAAACAACGAAAATAACAAACTAATGTTTTCGGTTGATCGACCTCTTCCTTTTGGTATTCTGATAAATACCATTTGAAATATTTATTCGTTAAGACAGCGTACGCGAGAAAATCATATTGGAACGATTATCGGAGAAAGTCTACGCGCTTTGAATACAACTGTTGTGATTTCAGTACAATGACTTTAGACTAAACGACACCCCCTCGGTGTCAATAAGTTCGGATCTTATATATTCATTGTTATTAATTATGTGTCCCTGAAATAATTTTGCACTGGAATTGGGCTAAAATAATTTATTTAAAATATTTGTTGGGTTGTAGAATTATTGTATTTTCTACAATTAGTTTTTCCATTATACTAATTTAGTAATCGATCATGATTTTAAATTCTTGTTAATAGTAAATAAGCAATTTAAAATAGTATTAATTCAATAGTTAGTAAAATTTTACGCATCTCCCTACCAAACCTGTTATACACTTTTTAATATATTGTGTTATTAAAGTTTAGTAATTTATTACAAAATAATAATCCCGTTTACTGTATTGATTATAAAAAAGTAGGACACATTTGTTCTATTTTTTTAGGTTAAAGATCAGACAGAAACAAAAAAAGAGTCAATAGCTACTTCGGTGCTGAATGAATAATAATACGAACAAATGATTTGCTTCAGTTAATTTGAGTTTTTACAGACTGAATTTACTTAAACATATTTTAAAAATAATATCATGACTACAATTATGATTAAAATATACACGCTACAAATAATTATTTAAATATTTCATCAATCCAAACTATAATTTTTAAAGAAACGTTCAAAAATTAATGTTTATATACAACGTAAACCGGTTTTGTACTTCAAAGATTGAAGTTATAAGGATTTTCTATGAAAAAGCAACTAGGTTGACTTATATAATAACATAACTGTAACTATAGTGATATATAGGCTCTCATTATACCAGTAATAATGAACGATTTTGCTAGTTGTAATCCATTAAAAAAGATGTGAACATATAAATCTCAGTACTAAAATAGGTACGTTATTTATTTATAAGAGAAGTTTCGAGGCCAACGAATTCACCCAGTTATTGATTTTCATTAGATTGACGTTAAGAAATTCAGTTTTAATGATATACATTTCACATTGAGCTGTACATGTGAAATTACTTAAACATATTTATTGAAATTTGTGAATTTAAATTGAACAATGAAGTTATAATGTATTTAAAAATAAGATAAATCAAATTTTGAATCAATTGGACAACTAAATTACTTATAGTTTTAGAGGTGAAAACTTTGTTACAAATATTATAAAACAGTATAATTAACTACTACGTAAATAGTTATTGTACTACGTAATAAGTATACTAAATATTCGTTTTTTCTTTTTTAGAAAAAAATGATACTTTTAAAAATATTATAATACAAAATATTCTTGTTTGTGTGAACCGTGACATAAGAATAATTTTTTCATAAACAGACTGTGAGAAAATTGAATGTTCCGAGTAAAAAAGAAAGAAAGAATCTTTTAATTTTGTGCAATGTTATCACAGCGAATTGTAATGGGAAATGTTTATGTGTCTATAAATATGTTATTGTGCATTTTTTATGTCGATCATTCGGCATGTTTATATGGTTGGGTAATCAAGAAAGAAAATTGAATATTAACGCGAATAATATCAATAAAAGCTAGTAGATACTAGTTGACATTGTTTCTAGAAAGCGTATCTTGGCCATTTCATTAAAAATGCAGCCAATAACAATCACGACTATGCGGTTCAACGATGTTTCAATAACTATAACAATTCTACTGGAGAAAAGTAGAAAAACAATTTAAGAACGTATTTATTACAAATTTGCTAGTAAAATAATGCACGTTTCTTGTACCGTTGAATTTTCTTTCTGATGTACACAAGTAAAAAAGATCACTATCTAACATTACATCAGAATATTTTCCTGTAACTATCCCCACTCCGCAAATTTTAAATCCAAATTTCTAAAAAGTTTTTAAGGTTTAAACGATGTTTTTAAAAACGAGTTACAATATGTTTTTTATTTTTCTTATTTGTTTAATAACGTATTTTTTAAATTATTTATATGTTACTGTCTAATGTATAATATGTAAGTATTTTTTCAAGAATAATTGTTAAATAAATGTCATGATATTTATATATTTTTAAAATTTGAATGTTCATAGTGATTCAGTAACATTACGTTTAACATTAGTTATAATCAAAATTCGAAAATACAAAATTAGACACCATAAATATTTATCTATAATATACAGTTTATTGAGCTTAAATTTTTTTTAAATTTTTATGGGCAAGTGATCAATGAATTTGATTGCAGAGTATCTTTACCGTTTTTATCAAGTCTACTGTGCTAACAATTTAACAATAATCCTACGAGGTCATTCCATTGCTTCTTAAAACGGAAGTGGTATTAACGGTTTACATTAAGGGGATGTCAAACGTTCAATCGCATATGGAGAGAATGCACTGAACAGAATATAAAACAATTAGTTTAGTTCCACGTATTAGTATTTCGTACTATGCGTTTTTGTCTCACCAAAAGTTAAATGATAATGATACAATTATTTATAAATTGTGCAGGCGCCTCACTTCTTTGGAGCATAACTTTTCCGGTTAATGCGTATAAGGAAACGACTAAAAAATTCTTGCGGTTAATGTAGAACAGATTTTAAAGACGATAACGTTTTGATTAATTCATACTTTAATTGTGCAGTAAATCATATTGACCCTTTTTAAATAGTACTCGTATAAGATTATACATATTATTATAATACATCAACTAATTTGCATTTATGTATGGTTAATGCGACTAAGATAGAAAACGTCTATGAAAACAGGTCTGTGAAATATTTTAAATTTAAAACAATAACAATAAGAGTAGGAATTGATTAAGATTTTGGAATATATAAAAACGGAAGCGTTTAGTATGACGAATATCACATACATAACAATTATCGTTTGTTCGAGTAATAAAGAAAACAATTTTATTTTAGATTATTAATAAGGTGTAATGTAACTCTATCTCACTGGGTACTTGTTATTTTAAACATATTGATAATTTTACTTTAAATTTATATTTTTAATTAAATAAATTTTTAGTAAAATTTTCCAAATTTTATTTGGTTTTCTATATATACGATAAAAGTTTTTAAATATCTAAATTACACGGAATAGTAGTTTTTTAATACATCTCGTTTTCATTTGTTTTTAACAATAGCGATTTTAGGAAGAAATCAAGAGCCGTCTTTTTCAAAAAAGTGAAAATCTCTTTCTAGTTAAAGTATTATTCTTTCTTATAAAACTAAATCACCGTTATAAAATTTCAAACAAATTTACGACGCTAAGCTGCATATAATGTGAAATCTTAGGAGTTCATATTTAATGCATAACATTAAGGCTTACAAAAATGAGGAGATGAAAAAGAAAAAGTATAGTAATTTGATGTAACTGGAAGCTAGTCGAGCACGTCACGACAACGGTGCAATATTGATTGTATTAAAACAATAAAGAAGAGTCACACTGTAAGATTAATTTCTCCGGGTATAATATAATCGAATACATCTCAAAGTAGTAGCGAAAAAAACTTCAACAACACGTTCTGTAGTGGTCTTGGTAACGTTATGCGTTTGCGGATATAACAATCGTTTACCGAAGCGTGTAAATGACCAACAGACATCGAGACACAACTAGTCTAAGAGACATATAAAAAAAAAAGTATGAGGTGAGGAAAAACATCGACGGTATGAATACTATTATTAGTTTTTGCAATCGCATATTATACACGAATCGTGTAGCTGAAATCGCGTATAAGGTGTGCAATGACAGCTAATCATTTCGAAACGGCAATTTATATTTTGGACAGTGCAAACGATTACACTGTCAATTACTGATTGTAACATTTGTTTAACATTAATGAGAAAATGGAAGAAATATTACGTATTATGTTTAAATCTAATTCGAAACTACAAATATCGTCCTGTCATTTTTTTAACGTGTTATGCAATTAATTAGTGCGGTAATAGCTGCTGCTTAGCTATTATAATGGTAATAGAACCAATTATTTTTTTAATTAATTCAACAGATTAATTGGCGTGAGAACATGGCAAAACATTTTTTTTTTATTGATAAAATGTAGACTACTTGCCTAAATTATATGTTAACATGAATAATATATCATCTCTCTTCGCGCAAAAGTTAGGCGTATAATTCGTGATCTTTGAATCATCATGATTAGGTATTCATGCGTTTTTTAGATAGTTTTATCCGTTACATTGTCCACACCGCCACAAACACTATATGCTTACATGTCAAAGCGCCAAATACTCACATCCGACGGCTGTTATAATAGTCATTATGACGCTCACGGCATCTTGGTCTTTATATTTTGGTTATCGCATGCACTTTGAGCGATTAAGGACACAAGAACAATATAAAAACATTACTATTTACACTAAGGTCATCGCTCTTGTCGATATTATAGCTATTAAGGTTTAGAGAACATCAAAACTCTACTCTTAAAAGATTTAAAAGATCTTTAACATTGACGGGAATTGTGTGGAAATAAGCTCCGTCAAAAATTTCACCAAATGTCTGTCTAAGGTCTTCAATAAAATTGTTAGCGATAGTTATAAAATGCATTTAAACTTATGAGTTGAAAAATTAAGATTGTTTCATAAAAGAAATTATTATTTTTTGTTTTTGAAATGATACTAAATTTTTCAAATATTTCAATACTATTTAAACAACCGCTTGTTTGCTGACAAACTGAATTAAACCAAAATCACAAACTGTTCTAATTAGTGACGAGTTTTTACACAAGTGAGATATTATTCGAGGAATTTTAGTTGCATTTAAAATAAGAAAAACGTACGATAGAGTGGGTACGGTAAATAACTCGACNAGCAACCGCTTGTTTGATGACAAACTGAACGCGAATTAAACCAAAATCACAAACTGTTCTAATTAGTGACAAGTTTTTACACTCGTAGTGAGATATTATTCGAGGAATTTTAGTTGCATTTAAAATAAGAAAAACGTACGATAGAGTGGGTACGGTAAATAACTCGACACACAAAAGAACGCGTTTTAAGGTAGGAGCTCTACATCTAGTGATTTTACCGCCAAAAATAATACCCTCAAAAGACTTCCAGCAGGTGCGCCAAAGTATCAATTATTAATTGAATTTGTAATTGCCTACCTTGAGTTGTTTTGTAGTGTAATATCCAAATATGTCGCGTCCCTACACTAAATGAGTTTTTTCATTGACCAAATTAATTTTTTCTAATAAAACACACAACTCAATTGAAAAAAAAATATATAAACGAAATGTAGAATTATTTTTTTAAATGAACATAACTGTAACGGCGTTCACAATACGATCTTCCAAGAACGAGACTGCGACCGGGCAAGATATTCGTCGTGGTCGGCAACCCAAGAGATAGTGTAAACCAGTTTCCCCACTAAAACATGCGGCGTGGCTGCCACTGCAGACTGGCTGAAGTATCGGTGAGCTACTTTTTACAATTCAGTATACTTGATATAATGTTATCTATTATAGTATCATTCATGTGTGATTTTTCATGTTACTTTGACAGAATCATTTGGCACAGCATCTGGATATCCGTAATTCTCATTTATAAATCAAATGGGTTCTATTTTGGATTTAAAAATAATCAACACAAAACATCTAAGAGTGTAACACAAGTATAATTAAAATTAGTGTATCAAGTCCAATATTGTTTCTCACACAGTAGAAGCAAGTACTCTAAAACAGTTGATAGTATAAATGTATATCTATTACAAGTATATAAACAAAAAAACAAGTAGAATATCGGTTAATAATAGATTTTGACTTAAAATTATTATTTGTTAATATGTTCTTTTACAACTGTTTCCTATTCAGAATCCACACTTTCATTGGCTCTGGTTTCCCTTTCATAGGCACGAGTCCTCTATAAGTAAATTCAAATTGCGGATCCCAGTTGTCTTTTTGAATAAGAATACTAAAAAAAAAATGATATAATTTGTAAATTTAATAAATAATTAAACATTTTTATATTGTATTAAATAATATAAAATAATAACACGAATTTAGTCAAAATTTAATATCATAAGAAGGGAGGGGTAACAATTGAAGTTTTACTCTCATCACGAGATACTATATGATTTAGCCTTATAATTATAATGTAATTTTGAAATATTTCGTAAGTGATTCAGACCCCTTAAGCCCCCTTAAATACACACCTGTTAACTTTACGATATTTTAATATATAATATTATTGAGATGTGATGTTATCAAAAGTTGAATGAAAAAATAAATAAATGAGTGTAAGCCACATTACAAATTAAAAACATAAATATTCTAATTATTTATATAAAAGACTAGATAAATCATGTTACGCGTTAAACTCCTTTTTAATAGACATGTTTATTTAGCAATAATTTTGAAAATTATTCATAATTATTCTTACTGGCTCCCTTAACAGCCATAATGAGGTTACGTCAGATTAACAATCGGTGTAAAAGTCCTGACAATTCGTAAGGTAGATCCCAAATATTTGGGATATATGTTAAGGAGATGATGATGATTAAGTATTATTATTCTTTTAAAATATATTCTTTTCTTTATTATGTAAATAAAATTTTTTATTGAACAATTTTCATTTTTATTATTTATCGGACAATTGTTATGGTAATAGAAAATGTTGAATAAAAATTTGATCTAATATATTTATTTTATATTTATGCATTTTAATGATTATTTTCTTAGCCAACCGGATTTAAGGAAATTTTAGTAAAAGATTTTTAATGTCTAAATTAATCAATAGTGAAAGATAAAAGAATGTTTGTCAATACACTTTCGCTTTAAATTTTCAACTTGACAAAACAATAAATTATTCCGAGTATTAAAATAAGTATACTTTAATCGAATCTAAAAACCTTCGATGAACAAAAATGTATCTATTATTATAGTTACTATTTTACTATAGTTACAGCAAAAAAAACAATTGATAACAAAATTTTTAATTTAATTTTAAATTAAATCAAATATTACACTTAATTAAAAATTACTTTGAGCAAAGATTTTTCAATATTAAAAACGTGCGTATTAGTTTTCATATTGTAAATAATTAAACTTAATTATTACTTATTTTAATCGAAGTAAAATTACTAAATTTATGAAGAATATTTATAGTTTTTAAATTTATTCTTAAAACACCATAGAGTCAGGCCCGCATTTAAGAATTTTACCTCCCTGGGTACTTAATTCTACTAGCCCCACAAAATCTTTTTTTATTACTCTTCAAAAATATTTTCCTCTGTCTTTAATCTGAATAAGAAAAAAAATATCTTCACTTCTATAATTTATATTTTAGTGCCGTCTGAGGAAATCGCACCCAGTATCCTCCTAAATGCGGTTTTATCTTGAGGAAATATAATTGAACTTAAAAAGTGTATATCTATGTGTATGAATATGTAATTTGCAGTTAGTTTCCTATTAATATTTTTTTACTGTAGACAAACAGCAAATAGCATATTAACAATATATTTTTATATTTAATAAAACAAAAACTTTAAGGTGTGCTATATTAATTTTTGTCTTCCTAAAAAAATGATATTGTAACAATTTATATAATTTGTAAATTTTTAGAAGAATGACTATTATCCCAAAAATTTAGAAAAGTTAAACCTTCTTCTAGACTTTATTTAGTTGCAATTATGGTAAAATTTTTTGAAAATTAAAAAATTGGGTTAAACCTACAAAAATATTCTAGAATTCGTGTAAAAATAATATATTAAACTTTAATGAACTTTAAATAATACTAATAGGTTAAATAAATAAATAATATGCAAAGTATGCTCTAGAAGTTTTGAATTCCTTTTTTTATTAATTTTTTGTGGTTTATTAGAATTTTTTTTTTATCACATTGACTTGAAGATAACGTTTATTATGCTGAATGTATATTAAAATAGAGAATCAAAATAAGTTCATTCATATAAATATGATTAAAGGCGTATCCAAGATTTTTAAAGAGGGAGGCAAAAACCAAAAAAAAATTATAGCTACTTTTTGTTTAATGATTCAAATGAAGCCTAAAATTCAAGGTAATTTGTTTAATGGAGGATCTCTTTAGCCTCATGAATACGCCATTTTACCGCATATTACTGACTTTGAAAATGTTCTAATTCTTTTCTATTGTCAATATTTTATCTTGTTAAAAAAATATCTTTTGATTTTATTATTTATGTTTACTGATGAGCTGGCTTTATTTTTACCAGTTCGTATTATCCAAATATTACTTCTCAATTGATGTTATAATAATTATAAACAATATTGAAAAAAGTATTATAATATCTGGTAGTAATCTATCAAAAAAGAAAAAAAAAAAAATATNAATCTATCAAAAAAGAAAAAAAAAATATATATATATATATACGAGTTTTTTTACCCTTTTCAATTACGACTTTACTATTTGGTTTACCGGCACAATCAATACATATCTATTTTATTATGGCTTCCTTAGGGTGTTAAGGTAAACTTCAAAGTGCGTGTTGGCTTATAGGTACGCATTATTTGACAGTCGAACTAGAGTCTCGACGTTAAAATGGAAGCCGTTTTAGAAGAATTCTATGCGCAGATTGTTGACAAATTAGAACGAGACGAGCTGATACCGGCCTACAAGCGCACGCAATACCGCGAGTATGTTGCCATCGTCGTGGAAGGTCTTTGTGGTCCATGGTGTGGTCAAGATAAACGAAAGGCATGTGAAGCTGCAATCTTGGGTGCCGTGACCCACCACAACCGCGCAGTATGTGCCAACGGTTCCGTATGTCCGTTGGGAAAACACCATGACATTTTATATGTAATGGCTCGCCTTGCACTTGACGCCAAAGCTGGACCAGGCCCAGTTTCTACTCTTCTTAACGCCATATACAAGTAATTATTGATGTTTACTTTTTAGAATTACCCAAAAACCCGTAACCATTCTAATTTATATTTGTTTGTGCACTTTTAAGGGGAAGTGAAATTTTGTACATATTCTTAGTAATGCTTTAATTAATTGTAAGTTCGCCGTTTAAACGTTATCTTTTAGTTGGAGAGGTTCATATTAAAGTAACTTAATTACTAATAGACTATTGGAAAAAGTGTAGAGAAAAACCCAAATATAAATGACAATTCTTATAATTTTTCATACAATTTACATTTCATCCTGATTTTGGTTTTTATGTATAATTTATGCATTCGTAGACTACATTAAAATCTTATTTTTATTATTCGTTTTTTATAATAAAATAAATAAAAAAAATTGTTTTCATTTCAAAATAGCCAGTTTTCAAACCTTTTCTTACAAAAATGATTGACTGTATAACAATTTTGAGACGAGTAATTATAATTATTCAATATATTGAGTTACAAGCATTTAATATATAGAGAGGGTAAGTAGCAAGTACTGATTTATAACGCAAACTTCACCTACGTTACGTATATTTTGTATGTATTAAAATGCTTGTAACTGAATACTTGTAATTTTGATCTAGTCCAAAATTGTTATTGACCCAATCAGTTTTGTAATAAAAGTGCTGGCTATTGTAAAGTAAAAAAAAAGACTTTTTGTTAATTTTACTATTTAAAAAAAATAGTAAAAATATGATTTCAATATAGTCTAAGGACGCATAAATTATACATAAAAAAAATTACTACAAAACGGTAATTGTATCAAAAGTTAAGAGTTGTCATTTAGATCTGGTTCCATTGTATAGATACACTTAATTCAAATTCCATCTTTTGACTAGGAAATGTTTGTTCAAAATACATGTTATAATATGCGCACTTTCTGTAAATATTGTAGATTAAGAACTTCATTACTAGTATTACTAGTATTAGACTTTATCAAATATGTAAGAACTATGTGTGTCATGCGTAAAATGTAATGATAGTTACTTTGGTCATGATATTATTTCAAATATGAAAAACCATTGCGTTGTAACAAAAACGAAATACTTGACTTTTATTATTATATTCTTCTGTGTGTACTGGATCATAAATAAATATAAAGTCATTAGCAAAATATTCTTAGGCAACATAAATCACATATTCTACACTATACTTAGCATTAAAAAATTTTGTAAGATTTTAATTCGAATGGAATCTACTTGAAAAGTAAAATTGAGCAATGCGATTTTAAAACCAGCAAATGCAGTTATTAAAATCAGTTATTATGATACATTAATTAAGATGCAATGTTTCGAAGTTATAGAATGTGTTTGTTGCAACGACATGTTTTGTGACTCATAATTACAAACAATAGCGTTTAATAATTAATAATCTCCCGTCACTGTCGATTTTAATGAGAGTAGCATATGTGAAATTATTTAGGTAATCAGTTCTTCATTTTAGTATTCTAGTCAAATTTTCAGAAGTCAACGGAATGAAGACAATAAAAATTCATAACTAACAACTTAATTGCAAATTTCAAAATACAAAACTATTCGGATCTTTTGTATGTGTCTTTTGTTAATGTATGTCACCTCGATTTTCAAAAGGATTATATAGATAAGATCAAACATACAGATTGAGATTTACGAAACCCAACCGACAATATACACGAAAGAAGCAGTATGGTATTACATAAAATTTAATGAATCTGAAATTATTGTGTCGTGATGGATCGTTTGAAAAAAGAATGATTTGACATAAAAAATATTTTAACATGTAAATACTTTTTTGTAGTTTTACAAATTGTGAACACGAAAAGAGAACCGTGACGATAATTTAATGGATTTACAACGTAGTTATTAAAATTTGCTTTAGTATGACTAATTTGGATCCAATGATAATTTGTATGGAGTTTTCTTAATATTTTGTTACACATCAAAGTTTACCACACGGGTGTCTCGTATTAACTAAGGGAAATCGATCGATAAATGCATTGTATAACATGTTATCGACATTATATAGGTTTTTTTTTCGAGTAAATTAAAATATATATATTTAGCATTAGTAATTATTAAAGTATTTTTAATTTTTATAAGTATGCTAAACATTAATTTTTCCTTGCATAAGAAAATCAAATTCGTATTTCCAATAAATGATATTTACCAGTGTCGCGTTTATTTGAGTAGCATGTTCAGAAATGATAGAAATAAATTTCACAAGTAGATTTTTTTTATCAAAAATATCAATGTTATGACATTTTTTATTGTTGAAAAGTATATACTAAAGCTGAATTCAGTAATACTGATCAATAATTGATTAACTACTACATGTTATTCTACGTCGCACAATATAAAACTATCCACTTTTACTCAAAAAAAAAATTGATCAAATCATTTGTAAAGCTCTAAATAAATTCTTAAAAAGAGGATTTTTGTAGCTGCATTAAAAATTGCGTGGATCGAACGGCAAAGATTTGTACACTTTGAAAATTCGGTTATGAAACACATAATGTAACCAAAAAATAATAGTATACAATCCAACACCATTAAAAAATGTGTATAGATAACCGTATTATTATGCATGCTATAGATTTCTACACAGTTAAACGGACATCACGACTTTTTTTATTCTTTACACGTCTAACCCTAACCTTGAGACTTATATTCCCACTATGGTGAATGAATGTGATTTGTTGGAATGGAGTACAAACGATAATTTGTTTGATTTAAATTAATTTTTGGGTGAATGTAAACAAAAATTCAGTCATGTAAGTCTTAAGTCAAATCATAACTACTAAAATCAACTACCAAGGTTTCTTTTTGAGGTCATTTTCCAAACAATGTAAATGTTTGTTATTCTGCGAGTAAATGAATGTGAACTAGATATATTTTAAAATTAGAACGTTTTTAACGTGTATTTTCGAAAAATTGAAAACATGTTAACATAGTAAGGATACAAGATATGACTCTTCGTTGTGACGATTTTAAATAACATTGTATCGTCTAAAACATTTCACTCGGAAATAACGTCGGAGTATAAAGAGTTTATTGAATTTCTCCGATACTCAAGTCTAGTAAGAGGTTTTGCACGCGAATTGAACGCATACACTCGATTCTATTGCGTATAACACTTTGTGTTAGCATTTGAATATATTCTACGTGTTTAAATAATAAGATATTTTATTTCGTTATGTTGTACTTAATGACATCACAAGTGTTTGATTACCACAATCGAAAAGTTCTTCTGGGAGTGGAATTTATTTTTTTAACGATGATTTCGATTAAAATGACTTTTTGAACACAACTTGTGTATAAAAAAAGTCTTTTTACGAAATAGAGAATAAAAAAAAAAGTGGAAAAAAATCTTAAAAACAGATGGACTTAATCGACTTGCAGTAACAATAAGCCCGTAAAAAGCAACTGTAATTAATTTGGACGCTACTCACGGGGCACACATTTATTAATGAGATATTCTAATAATCCATTAGGTCATACTAACTGCGCATGACCTACAACTTCACGGAAATACTTGTACTAATTTTAAAATATTCAAGCACTGGTCTTGGATCCGTTAACAAGTTACCATAGAAAATGATCAATGGTTTGAAATAGTTGAACGTCATTTTAAGAATTTTGTTTGGATTATTAACGAAAAAATACAACGATAAACAACTTTAATAGTCATCATATAAGTCAGTAGTCTAACGGTTTGCATTTCACAAGAAATTATACATACATGCAGATACTTTATTTTGCTTAAATACGAATAATGTAAAATTTGCACAACTGTGTGTTTATTTAACTATACTTGAAAATATCAACCGATTACATATACTGATAAGTTAATTTCAGGAAAAAATAAAATCAACACTGAGAGGATGTAAAATTTAAGTAACATCCCAAACTCTACTAAAAATAACGTTTACTATAACATGGAATGAGAACACAACTTAAGAAAAATCATGTATCCTTTTTATATATTTATAACTAAGTAAGTCGTTTAAAAACAAATCCGTTTTTCTAATAGTGAATAATATGTTGTCATTACATGTTAATAGTATTGGAAAAAATGAATGTATAAATAAAATATGGTCGTTTATAAAATCCTCTCTTCCTCTTATGGTTTTTTTTAATGAGCTTTTTTCTATAATATCAACTCGGACTGTAAAATAAATTATATTGAAACATGTTTAAGTATAGAGCAGGTCTCTATAGGTGACAAAATGTTATTATTTTGTTCTAGAATAAAAACGCATATAAATTAAATGATTAGAATATACTAAAAAATAAAAAATAACTTAAATATTCAAAGTTAATTAAGCTTATCGTATGAAAAATAATTGATGAACTCGACAAAAACGAGTAAATTAATTATTGATACGATTGGACTTAAAAAAACTTGTCGAATTCTGTTTAAGGTGCGAAAAGACTCTTGAAAAATTGTTCGAAGGCGCTGTAGTGGGCAGCAAAGTGGCTCGAATGATAAGCGGCAGACGGACAGATTTCGGAGCGACAGCAGCCGAGAATCGACAGGCGATGGCTTTTTTCTTGGATCGTGTGACTCGAACTCGTTTGCTCTTAGATGGTCAGCGACCCGCTGATGTCAAGATGGGCTCGTACCGCGCGTCTCCAGTAGTGGTGGCTACAGCTGCTGGAGATGTAGACGCCGTGGCGTTGCTGTTGAGATATGGCGCGGCAGACACGTCTGTCCGGGCGGCTATCGCTTACCTGCGAGACACGGCCGATACGCATAGACCATTGTCCGCTGGTAGCCGATCTTGCTTAGAAATCCTACGACGGGCGACTTTGTACGAAGATAGTTACCATAGTAAATACTTAAAGGTTTTGCAACCACCGGCTTTAATGCATTTGGCCAGACACGTAGTTCGTCATACGCTGTACGCTAACTTTAATTTACCACACGGTATACGACAATTACCAATACCACAGTCGTTGGTATCCTATTTAAATCTTGAATGTTGACGCTGTTTTACTATTTACTACTGTTGAGCAAAATACTACTCGCTGGAATAACTTTACCGTTAAACATTTAATAGCTACCCATTAGCATATTGTTTCAATTAAACAATAATGGAGATGTCAAGGCGTACGGGACCATATTAATTAAAACACATTATTAGTTGAGATATTATCATCACTCAGTGTTAAGTGCAGCATTAGAATAATAAAAATCGGATATTCACAAAAAACAGGATGTTTTCAATTTTACGTCCTGATTACATATACTACTAACTTGACACAGAATATTTTTAAAATCTATTTCGAAAAGTGTTCTGATTCAACAATAAGTTATTTTATTGGCTTATAATGTCTACATTTGAACTAAGGAAACGGTTTTAATGCATTTAATGTATTTGGTACTCGTAATTATATTTATTGGCTTTCCATTGTTTATTTCGCCAAACGTTGTACTTTGTCATAAAAAAATCATAATATTTATTGCATATGACAAACAAATGTTATGAAAATTATGTATGCGATAAAATGAAACCTATTAAAATTTATGTCGCAAATTTTGCGCAATTATGTTCCACATAATGTTATGTGTCTCTAAAGGCGCCATGTTTGTTGCTTAATTTTTAAACTTGAAAAATATAGTAGAGAAAATAATATAAACCATAATACAGGTATAAATAACACTATTATTTACACAGAAATAATAACAAAATATATTGCAGAATATTAGCATAAAGTTTTTAGTATATTTCATAGTTAAGCTATTCGAGTAATCGAGAAAATAAATACTTTCATAAGTGTTGTATTCGTATATTACTAAAGAATAATTAAAAATGATTACTTTATAACACTCGAGTGGATTCATTTCTGCTGCACTAAGTGCTAAACGAGAAAGTATTTTGCATAAATTATTGTGTAACTAAAAAATGATGAGTGCCTATCAAAGTTTTTAAACAATTCGTCATTCAGATACCGCCAACGAATAATAAAACAATCAAGTAATTGTTTTTTTAGATACAAAGGAAGTTAAAAATTTCACCTATATACAACGATTTTGTCTTGCTTTGAAAATTTCGAATTGAACTGTTAATTTCATGTCTTATTGCAAAAATATTCAACTCGTTTAAGTCATTTTTGAAATAACTTAAACGATTTGAATAACTTAAAAAACTCTTAAGTGTTCATTCAAAAGTAATGTCACCCTACTATCACCATTTAGAAATAAACACCATTAAAAAAGAATATTAATTATTTAGTATTCTGCATTTAAGAGAAACCTTTTTCTTATAATATTTATTAATTTGTGATCAGTCCCAAAAAAATGAACTGTTATTCAAGTAAATGAATAACAGACAAAAACGGCGAACATTTTTTTGTATTTGTATTATTAAAGCCAATAAAAACATTCTGTTTGTATTTATCTACTACAAGAAATATTATGTAATTTTCAACCATATTAATCATGAAATTTTTATTAAAAATTAATTTTTAATTTGTAACAATAAAATTTAGCATGGTCAAAATGTTATTTTATTCCGGTATTTTAGTTTCTATAAGAAACTGTATTAAAAATTTCTAAATATATTTTTGTTAATAAACAAAGTTTCTATAGTAAAATTTCTCGAGATTTTTTCGTAAAAAAACAAAATCGTTTACATTTTCTCTCAAATTCAAACATAAAATATTCTAATGTCAAAAAAAAACAGCTTTTTAAGAGTTCATTAAAAGGCGATATTTTTTAAAATTAAACTTAATAAAAATAACCGACACCCAAATGTATATTGTCTGAAATTGTTTAGGTTTGAGATTTTACACGTTTGTTATGTGAACAATTCATTGTTCAACTTGTCTGGATTATTTTTCTCGGTGTTTACGGACAACATTGTTAAAATAATTGTTTGTTTATCGTCATCATTATTTATGATCTTTTTCATATTTCCTCTAAAGTCCGGCGATTTCATTCTGTCACTCAAATCTGTTGTTTATTACTGTCAACAACTATGACATTTTTAGATCACGAGGTAACGCGTTGTAAACAATGCAATAAAAACATACTTGTACGCATTTTCTGAGACGTTGATTTTACCAGGTAGGCCGGTTGTTTCGGTTCTACTGGTCAAATTCACAGTGTTGCCGAATAGACAGTATCTGGGCATGCGATGGCCGATCACGCCCGTCACTACTTCACCGCTGTGTATGCCAATAGTGATGCGCTGAAACCGAAAAAATACTCAGTGTTATCAATTTAGGTCGGCCTAAATAAAGAAGAAAATGTAATGTTATCTCTCACTTACCACGGGCATGTCGTCCACAATGACGGTGTTGCTAAGATCCATCATGTCCAAAGCAAGACGAGCGATACATCGGACGTGGTCTTCGCAGGGCTCTGGAAGTCCGCTAACTGCCATGTACTTGTCACCAACAGTTTCCACCTGTCCGATTTTCACGTGTTAATTTTAACAAGGGACATAAATTCTGCGGTTTTCATTACTTAATTAAATCATATATTAAATGACGCCGCTCACTCCAAATTTGAAATCGGATTCAGAATCAGTAGCATAATTCCATATATGATTTACAACCCAACCCAACCGCAAAATTTATTTATTTTTTTTGTTGTACTGTATAATAAAAAATTTAATTCAATTTCAAGACTACCCTATAAATGCACGTGAAATTAATATTTAATTCGATATTGCATTAATACAATAAGTGTACGCAAAATGATTATTATATTATTCTCATGTAACAAAGGAATTATATTCAACACTTTTCGGAAACCATACACTTGATATAATGATGAAAAACCGCTAGGCATTATGTAATTACTAATTGTTAAAAAAAAATCGTTTGCGAATTCTTAATATTACATTTTTACTTTCGTAAAATATATGTAATGATGTTGTATTTCAAGTAATTTTTTATGAAAACCGTAAGCATTGACTGGCTGTCATAACAATTTGAATAACAATGTTTACTGTTTACTGCAGAAAATGTAGAAAATTGAGTGTAAACAAAAACTAGATAGCGACAAAAGATGACGTTGTATTTTCAATTATATCGTTACACGGTACACATGAAGTGCAAATATCGTTTTGTCTTACTTTGTACACGTTGGGGTTCTTTTTCGGGTCGGTGAGCACATCGAACGCCGTGTAGAGCTGATTGAGCATCCGTACGATTTTCATGGCACCTTGTGAGTCTGCATGACCCGCACAATAGTCGCTAAAACCAACAATGCCGGAAAATAGCAGTGTAACATATTCAAACCGTTTTGGTGGAACAGGACGCTTGTGACGTAACTCTGTTGCCACACTAATCGGAAGTACCGAGTACAGCAATCTAAAAATATTACTTGAAATGTAATTTTCTTTTTAAATCAATTACAATAAAGTAACGATATTTTTTACATGTAAAATTTTAGTTCAATACATGCGCTTACATACATTGAGCTAAACGTTACACAAAAAAGCTATAATACAATGATATGCTGGATAAAATAATACGTATATATATATTACACTAAATTTGGTTTCGTGTTTTTGTTCTTTTAAGTTAAATAACTTGAATATTTTAATTATGTACATATTGAAAGTTTAAGTATATATTTAATCTTCTAATGTCTCCTTTGAATGGAGCTGAATAGGTAGAAATTATAAGTAAGCTGTTCAAACATGTTTTCAATTATTAATATAATAAAACATTTTTCACATAGATTTTGTTTCTTCACAGTAACACATACCTATCAGTTTTCTGTTTTTCACTTTCCAATTCTCTATATGTCTGTTGAAGTTTATCTGTTAAAAACTCTAAATCTCTGGTTAGTTTGTAATCCGCTTCAAATTGTTCAGACATTAAAACCAAGTCTCTGGTAGCATCGTGCAATGGTATATCGCTTATAAAAAGACGTCGCCTGCGCAAAAAAACCCGCTTTAGCATATATGTTAATAATTGTTCAGAAAATTTAATCAAATTTTTACTTTGTTAAATCATCTAGATTGACAACGCTAGGATAGCATAAAAACAACATGAGATCCGTTTCTGGAACGTACAACATCTGACCCTAGTAATAAATTTAAACGAGTTCTAAAAAAATATTTCAACGAAAGCTATAGGTTTTATTATTCCATGCAATTAAAATTTTGATGAATGACAAATTTATTTGCATAAACGTTATGGTATTATTGTAATATTTACTTTCAGACGCAATGATATAGGGCAATTGTCGTTGGTGTCTTCGTCAATGATGCCAGGTCTGGTATTCAAAACGTAAACCGTGTTTATGTGGGCTAGAATGTTGTCGAATGTCAGATCCAAATGAGGTCTAACCTTTATTGCAAGTTAATGATAAAATAATAGTTATTATTTGTTTAATTGAGCGTTAATATTGTGTTACGCCTACAGGATATAAGATCTGTGTTAATTTGCACGGTGACGGCCCTTGAACAATGGGTATTACTCTGGCTATGGTACAACCAGTTTGGAGGACGTTTAAGTCTCTATCAAACATCAGATGAAATGGAAAAACTCGACAAAAAGTAGCTGGACTGATTTTCGGCTCTGAAATTAATTATATATAGTTGTTTATCACGTGTCTCAGTTCATGATATTAGTCCTTGTATTGGCTGGAACATAATTCATGGTATAGATGACGTGGGATGTCACATAAGTGGAGGTTTAGCATACAGGTAGTCGACCCCAAGTAGTAAGGATAACGGAAAAAAAACCATGCAAATATAAAATTGTATTTATAAGGTACAGTAGAAGTCCGATAATCCGGTACGTTCGGGACCGGCTCCGTGCCGGTCTATCGGGCGTTGCCCTTTCCTTTTAGTGTAGGCTTTGCTATAAGAACAATTACATTAATAATTAAACTAAAAATACAGTATGCAAATACAAAAAAGTTTGTTCTACTGTATTCTACTGTTGTACTGTTGGATGCCGGATTATTGAACTTCTACTGTATCTAATGTATATTATATGTTAAAAATTGCACACTTTTATATTATATTAATATTTTCTTTTTCCTAGCCTTAATCCCAACAACTTGGGATCGACAACCCTTATCCTAAGCTTCCACTTGACACGATCTCCCACATCATCTGTCCTCATATCGCATTCAATAAAATCTCTCCATCTATTTTTTGGTCTTCCTCTACCTCTTCTTCCTTCAACATTCATTTCTATAACTGTTCTTACAGCTTCCGATACTTTTATATTGTATTAATATATTTTTCAAAATTATATATTCTATTATTGTTACTACAAAATAATAATATTTTTTTCTTAAACAGAATGAATTGAAATCAAATGAAAATATAACTTTGCCATGATGTAATTAGGGTTTCGTATTAAGGGTATATGAGACCTATATCCACCTAATTATTTGGCTATAAATATATCAGAAAAACACTGGCATGTGTTACTCTGTTATATTTATACAACCAGTTTACCAATCCATTAACATTAAATCAGTGAAATTGAACATGATTTTATTAATATATTTTTTTTTCTAATCATTTTATCAATTAGCACTATGTTATACAGTGCGATTCTTTTAATATTAACCATTCGATATCTTTTAAAATAATAATTATTTAATGAAATTTTTTAATCTCATATATTCCTTGTTCTATTAGTTATTAATTACCTTATTAATTCATTTTTTATACCTTATAAGGGTGTCAAGTTTATTTTTTTAAAAGCAACATAGATATTTAACTAGCTTAAAAAATAAAAAAGTTCTAATCAATAATATGGCTGGTCGAAAACAACTTTTAGATTAGTACTTAAAAAGTTATTAATATTTTTATACCACGGTGGGAGGAAGGGCGAGGACGAGAAATATCTAATGATAAATTTTGTTCGCAAGTTGTTATCTACCAGCCATTTTCCTAATTAAATCAATTTCTATTTTATAAGCTAGTTATTATGAATGTTGCCATTAAAAAAAATAATTTTGGAACCTTAATAAGGTACGAGGGGTTAAAAATATTTTTTTAACAATTAGTATTTTAAGAGAAATCGAGTGGTTAGCGTTAAAAGAATCATTCTGTATATATTTAAAAGTTCTAAAAATGTATTATTCATTGACAATAATATACATCAATTATAATTTACAACTAACATAAATAGGAATTTAATAGCTGATATGTTATGATTAGACAGACGGTTGGGTTTGGTTTGTCATATTTGAGTACGACTATACTTCGAAAAATGGGCCACCGTGTTGGATTAAAAATCAACAATTGTTATAATTCTAATAACATTTATGATAAAATGATCACTGAATTTTAACAAAATTGTGATAAGTTATTAATATTGTGTATAATTTTAGTTGTAGTATTCATAAATCTAATTTTTTATAAGTCGCTAGCATAGTAGTTTGATAATAATAGATAATAATGTTATATACAAAAATTTAAATTATATCATGATTTTAGAACTATCGAACTCATATTAAATAACTAATATGTACATATTTGTAGTTTATTATGCGTTTTATTTATTTTTTTTTTGAAAAAATTGGAAAAAAAGTGCAATTTTAAGTTTAAAGCAAAGTTTGCAAAATGTAACTTTACAAATGTACAATTTTTTTATAAGTTTAACAGATTCGCATCGAAGCATTTTATGAAAGAGATGTTAATAACCGTGAGACATATACTATACATAATTTAAAACTTTATATATTTATTTTATGTTTTTAAAACTCAGTAATTTATTTTTACCTTGTGATAATGTTTCTACTTCTGTGTTTTGGTCGTTTTGACGTTGTCCTATAGTGTTCTTTTCGGTTATTAAAAACTGAACGTGATCACATTCTTCTTTAGTTTGCAAAATTTCCACTTCTACTTCTGTGTTATGAAGTTTACTGGCAACAGTCTATTAAAAAAGTTTCAAATGATTGTTTTTAACTGTTAAACTATTTTGTTATGAGTAGAGTTCGTAACTTCATGCATTTGTATGTTTTGCCTCTTCGGAAAATATGATTTGTGATCTACAAGTCTTACATTTCATAACAACAGTAATAAAAATATCAAGTCTGATAGTGCCTGTTTTTACATATTTTAGTCGTTTGTTAGCGTATTTGGCATACAATTGATTTTTATTTAATTATTAATGCATATTATTTGCAATAAATTCGGAAATTTTTTTTTTCACGAAGGTAAAAAAAAATACAATACAAATAAGTTCTTAAATAATTTAATTTTTTGTCTTTTCCAAATATGTTTACAAAATCGTAGTATTTTTGTAGTTTATTTCTATTTCTTTATGATACTAAATTGGTTTTAAGTAGTTCAATGGAATCAATCTTATCACACTATCACCATTACCTTCCACCGAATCAAACGTGTTTATGGCTTTTTATCAACTCACTTACATTTTTTTTTAAATCTAAATGAACCTAAAGAAAAAAATGGAAACTACTTATTGTTTTTAATTACGCACCACTTACTTCACCAGACGTTTAAAGATTAATTTCAATGATAAGAAACTTATTGGTCGACAATCATTGCTCATTTAAGTTAGAAAACAAAAAACACTGATAGTACAATGTAATTTTTAAGGTAGGTATAAAGTTTCTAAAAAGCCATAGTTGAGTAGGTAAAATTTGCTAAAACTTTTCAAAATTTAATTATTTATATTTTATAGCTTTTTGTTATGATTAATAATAATAAATAAATAAATAATTATAAAAATAGTTAAGTTTTGAAGACTACTAAAATGTACAAGATGATTCAATTAATATTTTTAATTTTTACTTGTATAAAAAAAAATTAATTTTTTCTTTCATTGAAATTTGTTTATAATTTGTTACTAAAATTGTATAGTTTATGATAAAAATAAATATTTTCATTTTAAATAAATGAATAAATATTTTTTTTGTTATTTCAAAATATTTTAAAATTCTAAAATAACACATATTATGCTTATATCAAAATTTTAATCATTCAGGTAAAGAATATTAGTGGGCTAAGCTCTTCTCCAGTTTACATAATAGCCCTCTCAAAAATTTAGTAAAATTATATGCATTGTTATATAAAAATTATTTTCTGAAAGAGTAAAATTAAATTTAGCACCTACCAAAGAATTTGATCATTGTAAGTCTATGTTTTCATTGTATATTTGACCAGTTTTTAGTGCATATCTATATGTCTTTAGTATTTTAATGCTAGAACTTACGATCTCTGGTTATGTAATTTTTACTCAATGTATTTTTCTATTTATTATACGACCTTTACAATGCCTATGACAATGTATTCGAGTCCAGGCCTATCGGAGTAGTAATGTAAAACAAGAGCGCCATCTTCAGGTCTTTCTGTGCACCTAAATGACGGAGCTTTCATTCCCGGATACAGAGTACCCAAGTGGTCGTGCAGAGCATCCAAGTTCTATTCGACAAGATTACTTCAGTATAACAAAAAGTTTTATATCAAAAGCAACGAACGATAAGTTACTTGTAAGAAATCTCTAGGTGTCGCTCCTAATACTTGTAGGATTTTATCGTAACCAGAATCTTGGCAAAACTCGAAAAACATTTTTCCAAAAAGTTCCAATATGCTATTTGCAGGAAGTTCTACAAAATAAAATAATTTGAAAATTGATATTTTGTATAATGCTCCTTTGTATATTTATGAATTACTTTGGTCTACTATCGATTAAATTTAATTTGTTTGCTTGGAAAATATTGCAATTTTTTACATTTCTTAGTTTTTTGAGATGTTATTTAAATGACTGGATTGCGTGTGATTTATACATTAAGTCTCAATATTGGTAAAATTAACATCAAGATCAGTGTTTATCTTTGATTTTTAAAAACATGACACTGAATTATTATAATAGAATATATTACTATATAGTATGTATTCAAATAATGATTAATTTAGTTTATAAACGTGAATTTTTAAATATTTCAAATTACAAACAATGTGTTTAAATAGAGACAATGAATCAAAATGTTTATAAAATATACAAATCTAATAATATATTATTAAGGATAGCATAACCTTTATTAAAAAAAACTTCAATAATTTTATGAAATATTTTTCATTTTTGTCTTGCTTCATTTTAATAAATTAATAATTGCAAATATGAAAGATTATTTCATACTGAAGTAACGTATTGAAATGGAATAAAGTTTCTATAAACTAAACGAAAAAGTCTAAATTTAAGTATTCACTTACTTAGAATTTCTGCAGCGGACGAAACTAAGTTGTAAGTAATTTCATCGTCGTATATTTGTCTGACTAAAAACTGTCCATCCATCGTAACTTCTGCATCTTTTCTATAATTTTATAAAAATCTTTAGATTATATTGTATTATTTTGATAAATTAATTGACACTTGCTTGATTTTCTCCCACGTTTCTTCGCCAAAAGTTTTTAAAACTAATAATTCCAAAGCATAATTTACAAATCCGTACTAGCAAAATAATAAATTTATAGTTACATTTAAATCAGTCATTATTAAAATTGAATTGCATTAAACTTGACATTAATAAAAAAAACTAATCATTTTTTATGTTCGACAAATATAATTTTTTTTAATTAAATCATTATATACTTACCATTTTTATTTAATATATTTTCAAATGAGCTCCCGAAGATCGAAAACGTTGCAACGAAATGCGGCGAAACACATCCATGCAGTTTTGATGGCCGCTCGTATACTGCTGAGGGGTACGAACATCGATTCGACCCATAGAATTTAACGCAAGATAGCGCTAACTAGAAGTATTACTTTTATAAAAGAAAATTCTTTTTATATTCTAAAAATTAAAATTTTTTAAACTATATATATATATATATATATATATATAATTAATTTAATTATTTTACACACACACACATATATATGTATATATATACAAGATGATTTTTTTTATCATAGACCACTCAATTACTACCTGAATAAAAATAATTTAAGACATATTATTGAAAGCTTATAAATACACATAATAACTGTATAATAATAATAATATATATAATAATAATAACTGACAATACAGAAAGAATTTCTTTTGATAAAGTCATAATTAACCATAAAGAATTCGTATCTATAATAGCGACGTCACATAAAACAATTGGCTACTTATTCCTGAAACCCTTTGTGTATTACACTAAATATTAATGTGTACAAACTAAAAAATTTGAAATTTAAAAGTTTTATATCTAATAAACAAATAAAGCTACGTTTAAAATTTCAATGGCATTTTCTATTAAAATAAAACCTTAAACATTACATTAAATTCAAAATATGTGTTCCCATTCGAAAAAACAAAGTTGACAACCTTACAAAGCATAAGGGTTGAACTTAAAAAATATTATATAGCTAATAACTCAAGAATAATATTTAATTAAAGGTATCAAAAAAATATTTAAATTATTTTTATTCTATGAGTAATTGAGTGAGCTATAATAAAAAAATCACTGTGTATAAATAGATAAAGACTATTATTTTAATTTAGATTATAGCTATTAATAAGACTGAGATTAGTATTGATAAATACTTAATAAAAATTTACTGACGTAAATTTTATTGATGATTATTATTTATAATTATCATAACTACCAAAAAATTACATAATTTTTGACCTGAGAGGCTGATATTAATGATGACAACTCTACAAAACGTTTTCCTGCTTTTAATTATGTAACATTAAACAACCTGTAATTTAAAATAATTTAGAATGATTTAGGTATCCGTTACTATGCAAGAAACACAAAATTTGTTATTTAATGTAGTTGTCTTAAATATTACCATTGTAAATTTTATTTTAATCTTTGCATTATTGAAATAGTTAGAAATATTTAAAAAAACAATATTAAATTGACCAATAATTACATGATTTTTACATTAAAAGACGTTGACATTTTTATTTTTTTATTGTATAGTATTTAAAAACAAACAAAGAAGTTAGGTTTTTGGAACATTATAAAAAGTTATAAAGAGAAAAATGTTGTTATGATTTTTGAGCCCTTACATAACCTTAGGTAAAGATTAGATTTCCAAAAATAAGTTTCTTATCTGCAATGCTAATGTTTAAAGTATTACCAATAAAATGTTCGCAACAATCCATCCATTTTATTTTAATAGAAAGTGAAAACTAAAAATATTAATAAAGACTGTTTTATAATACTTATATTTTTTGGACATTTCTCTATTACCAGGATTGAGGAGAATTTCTCAAAATTATGAAGCTGATAGCTTCAACTATATACATTTTGTGATATTTTTACGTATCATTGAACAAAATTAATCCAGTAGAAGAGGAATAAGCGTGTCCTGAGAAACGAAAAAAAAATCAGGACTAAGTATAATCAATAGGTTTTTAGCACTATTGGAAACAAATAATCAAAAATCCATTAGGTTAGATATAGATATTTAAATTTAAATTATTCCAGGTAGATAAAGGTATTAGGGCACATTTATTTAAATAAAATGGAGATAAATTCCTGTTTTTCAGTTATTTGTAATTTTCCTTAGAAACGTTGTTCCTCCCTTACCTTTATACTTAATGTATTTCAATTTTATTGTCAAAAATATAGAGACAATTTTCCCTCTCAATATGCTTTACTAAATAATTTTTAATCTTCATTACAAACAAGAAACTTTAAAAAATAATTAGCAAATGATACACACTATTCTTTAAATTTATATTGGAAATGTTACTCGTTTTTATCAATAGTGTCATTTATTAAGAATACTATACACCATTTTTTCGTTAAATAATTATTTTAGCATTAAAATGTACAAATTTAAATTTTATTAATTTCTGAAAGTCCTTTAGAAACCTTTAAAAAAAATTTTCTTACAAGATATTAGTATTTCAGTAGTGTATAAAAATATATTAAAAATTAATATGGCGTATAGCTGTACATTATACACTACTGCTGTTGGCTATTTTACGTTTATTTGTTTTACGATATTTGCTGGTCTCTTTAGGTAAATTTAAAAATCATGTAATTTTTAGTAAATATAATCAATTTTTTTTAATTTATTTCAAATACGCATCAAAGCATTTTACGACAGTAATTTTCATTACCATCAGATATTAATCTGTACTGATCTAAAAATATTCCTCAACCCAATTACGCTGGAACTCGACTGTACTAAATTTTTTAAACTCAGATGAAGTAATTTAAATTGCTATTAATGTAATGTCAATTTTATTATTCATTATTTTCATAAAATTAAACCATCTACTTGTAGGTGGTTTAATACACATCCATTTTCTAATCTCATATTATTAAAAATTTTACTATTTATGATTCACTATTTTGTGAATAAATGTCATAGACACAATAATCCAGTTATTATTGTAAGAATATGTTTACAAATTATTATACAAAGAAGACACGTATAAATGTTCTTAGCTTTATCAAAAAATGACAGGAATATTAATTCAATTTAGGCATGTGTGTGTTTGTGTTTTTTCTTCAAAACTGTTATCAAACTTTTTTTAATTAAAAATTCATTTCAGTGGCAATGAGGATAAAAAACAAAAAAATAGCTATTATTATTATTAGATTGTGGCGTCCTTCCTTTTCAATTTATAAAATTAGAAATTGAAGTTATTATTATTTTTATATTTTTTTGATACTGTTAATATTATATATTATATATGTATATTTATTTTATTTAAAATAATAACTTAATGTATTAATCATCAGTTTATTATTTTCATTTACATAAACAAGAAACCAAGAAAATTTAAGCAAAATGCAACTGTATGGTTTAAAAGAAAGATTGACAAGACTTGGTCTCCTGGAATAATAACATCAAGAAAAGATGAATTTTCATACAAAGTAATCTCTGAAGATGTTGAAAAACGACTAAATGCTAATCACTTAAGACAAAGAATAGACATTGAAGACAAGAAAAACAAACAACAGAAATCACAATCAACGAGCAGAATGAACAAGAATCGAGGGATACAACTGATTTACATATAATATTAAAGTATGAAAAGCATACCGTTAAGGATACAAAAACAATAAATCATCACTTACTATTAAAAACCATATAAATTCTCTGATTTTCTAAAGAATTAAGTTTATATTTATTGTACAAATAATTTTTTTATTTGTGATAATTTTAAGTTTACTGATTGCTTTTACTTCAAAACTATTATCATTACTATAAAAGCATCATAATTTACATTTTTAAATAAGAAATTATAATAATCGTGAATATCGAAAAAAAAACTTAAAAGATTTTCCTTAGTTTTCGTATTGTAATTTTGTTTACATAAGAATTAACGATAAAAAGACAATTTTGGAAGCATACTAAAACTAGCGTTGAACTAAAAATCGGTATTTTTAACATTTTTCCATAGTTTTCATAGTATTGTGTTATTTTAAATAGTATTGCAATCAAATTTTGCGATTTTTAGAAAACATTATATTTGTTTTATAATTTTGATATTCGTTTACAGAATGAAGATAATTCTGATGTTAAGTCTCTTTTTTCATCACAAGTATTACTACATTACATAAGCATTAATTTAAGATACACTTAAACGTATCTAGAGTTTTGGAAAACTTTTTAAGTTGAGTTGCATAATTAACTTTTAATATGAAATTTGCTATTTTTAACCGTATAATGGGGTTAATTTTCAAAAAAAAAAAAAAAAGCCGAAATAATTATAAAAATATTAATGTAAAAAAGTTAAAAATAAAATATTGAAATTTGAAACAATAATTTTTTGGATGATTTTTCCTATTTTTAGGGAATAGGAAAAAATTTTTTAATTTTGGTAATGAATACTTTAACTTAATACATTTATATTTTTTCGTCTTATTGAAAAACCTATCCAGTGAGTTCTGAAAAATTTTGTCTATAGACAAATAAAAAAAAAAGTATGGTAAAATTAATACCTACTCAGCTTTGCATTACAACTAAAAATAATTAATTGTAATACATTTCGGACAGTTCATCAAACATGCATATTAAATACATTTTCACATAAATATCAATTAACAAAGAATGAATTTTTTACTTTTTATATCAAACTCAAAAATAGACCTAAATCTGTTTTATGAATTAAAAATTTTATTGAGAAGAATTTCATCTAATACAAGTCTAGTTAAAATTAAAATTTTGATAAGCGTGTTAAATAGAAATATTGCATTTAAGTAAACAGAACTAGCTATAAGCTTTAGCTAAAAACCACATTTATTCAATTTGTTTTTAATATCTATAACAAAATATAAAAATATAAAAAATCACAAATTTTATAAAAAAAAGTTAAATAGTTAATAAATTAAATTAGGAATCAATAAAATAAATAATATTATTTGTGAAAATACGAAAATATAGGACACTTTAATACTTCATTTTAAATAAATATAAATTCTGTTTAAACATTCTTTAATGGTTCTGGAATAACGTCTCCAGGTGAATTGAACATATCGTATCCTGTTAGTCCAACCAACTCGATACTTTTATCCCATAGTTTCATTGATAGTTCATTATCTTTTGCCATAGCAGATGGTTCTTTTACCTTACAATCGCTATTCGATGTAAAAACAAAGTAAGTAACTTATATAAAAAAAAAAACTAATTATTACAATATGCAAAGTACAAACCTGTAGTAAAGACCTGTTTCTTGGCCGGCTTTTTCATCTATCGCACAATGTAATGTAGTCTGAGCACCTTGTTCTGGAGTTTTAATAAAAGGATACAAAACCAGTCCTAAAAGAAACCTAGTGCCAGGGAAGTAAACTTGGTCTACTGTCCTACCTAATTCAGTTTTTACGATACCAGGATGAAGAGTATACACATTAACTCCTGTATCTAAATAATTATTAATGATTTAATTATAAGTTTATATGATGACAACATTTTTATATTACCTTTAAGTCTCAAAGATAGTTCTAGTGAAAATAAAACATTAGCCAGTTTACTTTGGCAATATGCAGTCAAAGAAGAATAGTTTTTATCAAAATTTAAATCATCAAAATTGATTGTTCCTTCTAAAATGTATGAATTTCAAATTACGTTTCCAAATAAACAATTATTTAAAACTGTAAACTACTTACTCAAATGAGCACGCGAAGATACATTTATGATTTTAGCGGGTGCTGAACTTCGAATTCTTGGTAATAATAGTGACGTGAATAAAAAATGTCCTAAGTGGTTCACTCCAAATTGTGTTTCAAAACCATCCTCGGTTTTACTTTGTGGACAAAGCATTACTCCTAGAATATTGTTTGTATTAACCATGAATATTTTCATTATTAACTAATGATCTGAACAGTTTAAAAAATAAAAAAACTCTAAGCTAATAAAAAATTTGGTTAAAATTGGTATATCACATTTATCCAAGTTTTTATTTAAAATTTTTCTTTAATTAAATTAACCTTCCTTTTAACTTAGTTCCCTTTTCGTCACAACATAGAAATTCGCTAATTTAAACTTAAATTTTTTTTTATTTATAAAAGGAAATTGAAATGATAAATTAGTGCGTTTTAAGTTTTACGTGTTTTAAATATATTTAAAGAAATAATGAGATATAAATGTATCAGATAATACCATGTAATTAAAAATTATATAACACTAATATAAATCATTATGCATTTTAAATAAGCTTGATACTATTTAAAATAATGCATTCAAATGTATTTAAATAATATTATAATAAAATGAAATATTGTAATAATAATTAATGTAATTGCAAAAGTAAACGAATTGCAATATTATGAAAGAAAACGTACCAAGTTAGTAGAATTATTAATTTAACTAAAAGTTTAATAAATAAAAGCTTGGATAAATGTTATATAATACAATTTTATGGTCAGGTTTTTATCCTATTAACATTTTCTACTTTATTTTTAAATTTTATTTGAAGCATATCATTTTCATTTTTTTTTTAAAAACAACTATGGTTTGTATATTAATGAAGCCCAGCATATCATAATATCATCAAGAGATTACGATAAAACACATATGAATCATTAGATTTTAACATTTTAAATAACTAAATATTTTGCCCTACTTTTTATTTTTTTAGTTTCGGACTATACTAAAAATATATCTTTATTACTTGGTTTTGATAATAATAATAAACACAAAAATAAATTTTCAAGTACTTTTTGAGTTACAAAGATTTTAATATCTAGGGATGTTTCGCGGACGGAATATACGTTACATACAGAGTGTTTAGTAAGTAAGGAAACAGGACATTTGTTATAAATAACGAGAACAATAGAAACTCCTTTCCTCACTTACTGACCATCCTGTATATTAGAGATGTACTAGGTATACGGTTTTTGAGTAATTGCTTATTATCCGGCAATCGGTTGGTAAGAATTTTTTAAATGGCATTCATTCGTTACTCGATTAGTTCATGTATCTATCACTTGGAACATCTCTAAAAAATATACACTTGTACGAGCTGTATCCACCCTCGCTACATACCTACTCTATGTATTCAAATGCTTGAACTCAATAAGTTATCTTAATTTTAAAATTAATTAATATTAATATTAATATTAATATTAAAATTAATGTCGACTCATCAAAATGTTTTTAAGAAAATAGCTAAAAAGAATGACTATTTTGAAATTTCAAAAAAAAAAATGTTTTTTGAATTTTTTTTTTTTTTACGAGTAATAAATAATAAAAAATATATTTTTAACGTAGTCCAAAACTGTAAAAATTAAAAAGAAAGCAACGTAAAATATTCACTGGATCAAAAGTTAATAAAAATCTGAAAACTTGATTGAACTATTTATTCATTTTGTATAATTATAACACATCGTCTAGGTAGAAAAACCGCGTAAGTTACATTTTAACAAATTTATAGGAGAAGCAAAAAACTTTTCTGTTATACATTCGTTACTGTAAAATTGAGGTTTAACTTTTGAGCTTTAACATAATACATTTACTCTTGTGATACTAATAAGTACGTAAAACGTATAATACGTAAAAAAATACTTGGAATTATATCGTTACCTTATTCACCATGAGTGACAAAAACCCCATTTAGTTGTGCAAAATATAATAAGCATAGTAACGGTCGACCATTATTATTGTTATTTATAATGTACATGTATATATTTTTAGCTTGGTTTGTAGGTCGACCAATCTGCTTGATTTAAGTTAGTAATCATTTATTAGTATTAAATATTTTAACAATCATTGATACAAAGTTAAAATAAAAATATATAAGGAAATTAACTCACCAGCATTATTAACAAGAAGATGTATTTTGTCTTCTTTTTGCAAGATATTTTTCGCACATTGTTTAATGGATTTAAATGAAGCAAGATTAAGTTCTTCCACAACCAATTTTCCTAAGTTTTCTCCTTTTACTTCAGCAACAATATCTGATATGGCTTGCTCGGCTTTTTTGGTATCTCTACACGCCATAATAACTTTTGCTCCTATGACATATAAAATTTATATAACTTTCATCATAGATACTTTGTGCACATTAAAATAGAAAATATAAGATGCATGTATATTAAGGTGTTAATCAAGATTACTCACTCAAATAGTTTTTAGAAATATTTAGTTTTTAGACAAAATAAAATGAATAAAATTAATGATGTGAGTATTTGCCAGTAAACAAAATTGTATAATTGACATGCACCAAAAAATGCAAAATAATTAATGTTTTCATGTAAACTTTGTCATAGCTCTGAAATATACTTTTTACGATAAAAATTAATTTATTTTTCCTATAGAATCATTCCATATAAAATCATACAATATTATCACTTAGTTTATAGTAGTGTCTTGATTTCGATTTCTTAGAAAATAAGTACGTAATGGATAAATATTATTAATTTACTATTGATTGCATTATAATACTTTATTTTATTTTATAAATACATAACATGATTAACATTACATGATTAAATTATTAAGTTAAATTTAATTAACTTTGTGCAGTTTAATTTTTTGTTATAAGCTATTAAGTACAATAATTACTAATACATTGGGATGATACTAAAATATTATCATAAAATAATGTCAAATAAAATAATATTTTCAAAAATCGTATAAACCATAGAAGTTGAGCTAACTTGAAATACAATTGATTTGATGCCTTAAAAAAAATATTTTGTTTAACTGTTAGTTAGCAAACTAATGAATAATAGTTAAATAATTTATAAAAACTAAAATTTAAGCATTTTTTTTCACGAAACTATGTTATTATTTCATTAATTGACGCGTCAATTAAAATTATATAAGGTAATTTTACCGATTCTATAAAATTCTTTTGCCGTGATTTTTCCAATGCCAGTATTTGATCCAGTTATGATGGCAATTTTATTATCCAGTCTTGCTTTGCTCGTACATTTTCCACTAAACATTTTTAATTTACTTTCAAGAAATTGTGTAACTAAAATAATAAATATCTCAAGCTTAGAGCTGCATACGTATACACTAATACGACAGACATTCGATATTCAAAGCAACACGAACGATCTAAAGGAGTTACGTGGAAGTGTATGCGAGTGCGTATGTTGCTAACGAACCGTCACTGTCAAGGTTATTTGGTGTACAACATTTTTATAACAGCTGGCAGTTGATTCCATCATTTTATTGATAAGTACAATGAGTATAATTCTACTAAAATACGGTTTGTTGACATGGTGTGTGATTCATTTAAATCGGTCCCATATTAATTACACGTAGGAATAACGTAATGTTAACGAATAATGTGTAATTATAATTATAAAGCTTAATAGATTAAGACTCATTGGTAGTTAAATTGATAGCCTACGGTTATACTACCTTAGATTCTCAGTCTCTAAAATTATATATATTGACAGGCTTTACTTTCATGTTTATGAAATCAAGCCTACAATTAATAAAAGTAAATTTACGTCAATTATTTATTTAAATGATAAAGACATTTTAGTAGGTCTTATATATAAAATATTGACAAGGACCTACGCTCTGCACACCAAACATTTTTTAAAAGTTCTTTTCTAAATTTCATTGTTGACTATCTTGACCTTGAGGTTTCCTTCAAGACATTAATAATTTTTCCGTAAAAAATTTAACTCTATTTTTTTATTTTATAAATAACTATCAGTGAAACACTTAAATTTTGGATAAATTATTTTAATATTGACAATTTTTCAGTGATTTTGGTCTGCAAAATTTTATATACTAAATAATTGCTGTTTTTAATTAAATAATGATATCGCATAGCTTTTTTTGTCGTTTTTGTAGAGAGGGAGCTAGATTTTTCATTATAATAATAATATTTTGCTGAAGATAATAATCTTTGAGGTGGTAGTCACAAGCGCAACTACAATGACACCTACTCTTAAAGATAATGTTGCTGACCAAACTTTTTTCCGTTAAGAGGAAGTATTCGTTTAATAAATAAAATAGTATTATTTTATTTTATTTTTTAATGCAGGTAGTTATTTTATTAGAGACTAGCCTCCTTAGTTACTTTAATGGTAGTAGTAAAAAATGTCTTATAATAATATATCTCCTTTATGGTAAAATTGTGAGCATGTTACTATATAATTGAGTCTTTCTTAATATTAAAATAATTAATGTAATTATATTTAAGTAGCATATAAATGTCTTTTTGTCTTGAAAAACTAATGCTAAAACTAACAAGAAGAAACTTGAAATGTTTGAAAAAGTTCTACAATTATTATAGCTAGCTGTACTTGTAGAAATTGAATTCTAGAACTAGTTGTGATTAAAAAAAAAAAATAGTGTTACGAATTTTTGGGATTTCATTTGACACGTTTATTTTGAGTGAATCTTATCACACTATTTTTAGGTGTTATTTTTTTAAATTATTTTTAATCATAAAATCACTATATCACAAAAATTAGACTAAATCACTACTATAACTGGATAACAACATTTCACATTAATTGAAGTTAGTAATTGTCAATTACTCATTAGCGCTTTAGGATAAGCCATCAAACACCTGAGTTTATATAAAATATGGTTGTATGTTGTGTATGTAATCATAACTTAATCCTAATAGTATATTTGTTAAATTGTAGCACCACTTTCCTTATTAGTAACAACGATAATCACAGTTAATGAAATTATTAGCATTATTGTATTCCGCGTATGGTCCTTTAATAAATTTGGTACAACCCAAATCAAAACATTTAAACATTCTAAAAACCTAAACTATAATCAAATAATTGTTATTTATTCCAACTTTTTTTTCTTTACAACATTTTATTCGTATAATTCAATTTATTCACTTTTAACTCATATCATGTCAAAATGTGTGCTGCCATAAGTCATAAATAAAAATAATTTATAACCCTTTATAAAATCTCTGTGAATAACGTTAGTATTAATATCTCAATATATATTAAAAAGGGAATTATTTTGTTATGAAAGTATTTTTCATGTTTATCCCTCATACATTTTAAGGAGTCAACTTGAATTAATCAAATAATAATGTACTTAATTAGCTTTTAAAATATAAAATGATCTAATTAATATAATGACTGGTCGATAAAGACTATTGGATCAGTATTTCAAAAATTTTAATATACATATATCTTGGTGGGAGGTGAAGTGCTCCTGAAAATTTTTTATGATAAAAACAAAAAACCCAGGACGTGAGAACATAAATAAAATTTTTTGTATCCTTAACTAAACTATATTTTTTCACTTGATAAAATTTGGTGAAAAAAAATGAGAAAAATAGAAACCCGTTTCTTTAATTACTGAACGAATATATATTTTTTTATATTTTCATAGAAATGATAGAAGAATTTTTTCTGAGGAAAATTTTAGCAATAACTTACTGTTAAATAAAAATATACAAACATTAACATCCATATTTTTTATATGATTGTTTTACATTTGTAATGCATGTGTAAACAATTATAAGAAAAATGATACGGTTCGTAATTGTAAATTTTAATTGTTCATAAAAAAAACTGAGAATAATTATTTAAATTTGAATTGTTCTATAAGAATTTTTTGGGATAAAGATAGAAGCTATTTTTACCAATTTCTAATAAATACTGTTTTCCAGTCTTTGTAGTGGCTTAAATAATTTATATTTATGCATAGTTTTATGCATTTTTATGTTAATTCATAAAAACTATAATAGAATAAAATTTAATTTTTGTTTCATAATTAATAAAATATATTTAACATTGAAATAACATTTATATACATTTAATTTTATGTTATGTATAAATATATATTTGTTTGAAATAAAAATCATGAATTAATAAAATTAAAAATATTACAATTATTTGAGCATAATATTTCTTTAAATAACTTTAACATATATAAAAACATTTACCCTAGTAGGACTATAGCAGAGGGTGTGGTAATCGTGTAAAATTCCAATACAGACAAATTATTGAACCCCATAAATATTTCATTTTAGACAATTATTATTCTCATTAAACCAGCATATTTGCAAAATTTCACAGCTTGTTTAATTATTACTACAGGTGGAATATAATAGTTATTATTCATAACTGTTGCAATGCTTTATAGGAATAATCTCATACCCAGGGAATTTGTATATAATAAATGACGATTTTTCTGTTTTTTAACTTTCCGGTTAAACACAATATGTGTGAATATATTTTATTTAAGAATATTGAGCAACCAGGGCCGTTCCAAAGTTAAAAAAAAAAGAGGAATAAAAAAATCATTTTTGATCATAAAACAATTTTTTTTAAATTGTGCGACCTTTTTTAATAATTATTTTTTAATTGCATTTTCTTATGTTTAAATTATCGACTAAAACAATTAAATTTTATTTGGTGAGTTCCAAGACATATAGCATCATAGTTTATAAAGTAAAAAAAAATAATGCATTAAAAAAAAAATATTTAGTATTTCAAATGAAAATAAATATAAATAGTATTTAAAAAGTATTCAAAATATATTTTTGTAAAATTATTTAAAAATATTCAGAATAATAATTTTATGTTCAAATAATATTATTTTAGGAACAAATGCATTTTACCACCCCATTTTTTTTTTAAACGTGTATTTTTCAATGCTTTTTTCAAAAGTGTTTGAAAAAATTGTCGGAAAAAATTGGTTCAAAAGTTATAGCTTTTTAAAGTTGAAACGTCAAAAACTAAAAATAGCTCAAAAATTGTTTTTTTTTTGTTAATTTTTGGGATTTTTTCTCATGATACTATTGTGAAAGTATAATGACGTAATTATTACATAATATCCTCATTCTAAAAATCCTAAAACCAAAATTATCTATAAAAATAAGGATTTTCCAAAATTTTTTTTCAAGACTACGCACATCAAATTTACGCAATACGAAATAAAAATAACAAGAAACTTAATTAATTCAATTTGAGCAAAAAAAAATACCACGATGTGGTGTTTTACATAGAATTGTTAATTCAATAAAATAAAAGTTTTTACTGTTTATTATGTACACCAATTAACACTTGTTGTAAACAAAAAAAAAATACTATTACATTAGATATTGTTGATATTAGTTAAGTTGTTGAGGTATCAAAATATACTTACTAATATCTTAATGTTATAATGTTGAGTTATACAAACCCATTTAAATATAAGTTGTGGTCACCTACGCCTGCCGGCTCCGGTGACCGATTTGAGCCCCTTCGGGATTCTCATGGGATGGGGGCTCACGCCCCCAAACCCCCAGAGGATAGAAGTCCAAGCCCAAACCCAACCTATTTAAACCCATACGACTGAAATTCTCAGTGAACCAATAAGTATAAAACCTTGATGTTAAAATGGTGATATAATATTGAAAAAATAGATCAAAAAAAAAATTAAATTTATTTACTTCAACACTACCTTAACACGTTTAATGTACTCATAAATACTCTTAAATTTACTATTCCTCGGTAACTACATCATCGAGAATACTTTTTATAGTTAATTAATGAAAATTATCAAAAAAAAACAGCAGTATATAACAAAATTTGTATATGATTATTGAAATCTTTGAAAGCTCATAACTTTTAAACTAGACTTCGCCGACAAAAATTTTTTATATATTCTTAGTCGGTATGAAAAACTAAATTTATTTAAAAAAAAAAATTTGAAAAATCTCGATGGGGTGGTAAAATGCATTTAAGCCTTATTTTATTACAAGTATCTGAATACATTAGCAAGACTGACAATAATATTTTAAACAATAAATTTATTTTCACATTGAAAAACATGGATAATTAATGAATAAACACATTGAATAAAATGATTTATATTAAAAATTCTTTTATATTATTAAAAGTAATTAATCTATGGTATAACACGTTTATTATTATAATTTTCTGTAGCAAACTAATAGAAATTTATTTCAATTACTCAATAAGCTCTAAATACTCTCTCGTACTAATAAAATATTATTTATTTTGTTTCTTTCAATACATATATTACATCAAAAAATAAAGGAAGTAGTCCGACATGAATTTAAAACGTCTATTAAAATATTGTTACTGAAATAGCTATACGACTTAAACGAACTAGTAA